TCCGATTCACAAATAACGATTCTGTGATATTTAACGCAAAAAACCGCGCGCTGCGCCGCCAAATCCGATCCCCACGGAACAGAACGTACAAAATGATGCGACATTCATCACCGGGGCGTTGCCGGTGGTAGCACATGCTGTGTGTTTTCAGATGCACCGAGGGGTTCCCCCCCCCCCCCAAACCCCAGGGGTCTGGTATGGATACTAAGGGGAATCCCCCCCCCTATTTTTATTCATTTGCTGTGGGGTTCCCCCAAAATCCATACCAGCCGGCCTCCTTAACCAGCTGCCGTGCGATAAATCACCGCGTGAAAATATGCGATAATTACCGCCATGGTGATATTTTCCCACAAACTTCTCAGCGAATCGCACATTTGCAAAAAAATTTACCGCATGCGTTATTTTGTGGCATTTTTTTTTCAGTCGTTTAACTCTTCGTGAAATGTCGCCGCGGTCACGTTACCCCGAAGGGGGCGGTTCTTTTGCGCCCTCAATGAAGGGTTATAACAGCCGAGAGAATTTTCTTTCCCTTTTTCTGTACAAAATGCTGGAAACAGAAATAACAGCCGACACCAATAAGGCACTCACACAGCTTTATCGCCTACGTAGGTAAGTACAAAATCACAAACTGCGCAATTCTCACCCAACCTGCAGCCATGACCCCTCCCCCGCGTCCATCCATCTTAAAGGGCCAGTCCACCCAAACTGGCATTTCAGCTGCGGGTGGATCCTGGGGGCCTCACATTACTCACTGCTTCCTTGGGGCGGTAATACTGCGACCATTCCGCCGCGACTTCCCAGCTAGGTCTACACGTTGCGGCCATCGTGAAATGTCAGCGACTGATTCCCCTCCCCCTTGCAATGTAGTCACTCCTCCACTGGACAGCCAATGGGAAGCGTCCATGTCATGCAGGCAGTGATGTGGGCACTCGTAGAAGGACCCTGCCTGATGTAAACAAAGGGGGGTGGCGACTTAGGATGGGAGCGTGACTGCGGCTTTCGTCAATTACAATAAAGTTTTTTTTTTCCAGTAAGTTAGGGGGCGGGGCTTCTCATCCCAGAGCCAGGTGTGAAATATTTTGAATTGGCTGACTATCCCTTTAATGCCGGCCATAGACGGGTCTATCGGCTGATTTTCGCACCATTAGTGGGTTGATTGGTTGGCCGTTTTTCAGGGGTTTTTGCACATTTTTTTTTTATCGGTCATGTTGGGAAATTCGCGGCTGATTTTGATGATCGGCCGATCTTCCCGGCAATGATGGGCAAATCGGACGATCGTTTTACCGATTAAAAAAATGCGCATGAGCCGTGACCTGGAGGAAGAAGAATTCCAGTCCGCTATTATATTTTACATGAAAGTCTGGCGGTTGCAACATTGTATCCATTTGTATCCGAATAAAACCATCTGTATCTGAAATGGATACAAATAGATACAAATGGATACAAATAGATACAAATGGATACAAATAGATACAATGTTGCAACCGCAAGACTTTCATATAGATTATAATAGCGGACTGGAATTCTTAGGGACAGAAGTCATTATGGGGTTAAATGCCGGCCGTAGAGGAGACAAAAATCGGCCAATTTTTTTTTTACCGTTGGTATTAACGTCGGCCAATCGAATGACCGATTTTTTTTTTGAAACGGTCGGTGTTTGACCCGTCTATGGCCTGCCTAAGGTGGAATTCGAGCCAAACACCGACCGTCGCTAAAAATGTTCCCTCCCCCTCCTCCTGCCTAAAAAAGATCTGTATACGAGGCGGGATCAAAAACGTTTGGTGACTAGTTTTGTAACACGCCAACAGATGGCAGTGCGCACAGTCACAGGGAGCACCAACCTTCATAAGTCAGTGTGCCAAAAGACACCGTCCTGTGTACATCGGGAGCTGTGCCACTGGTGCTGCTCTGACCTCGTTGTGCTTGTCCATCATTAGAACAAAGAGACAACGTGTAATTCTAAGTGGAACCGAACAAATCTGCCGCAGAGACGGCGGTCACGACAGACACGAGTCGTTCGAGGGGCTTTGGGTGGAAAGAGAGGAAGAACATCGCTGGAAGACGACGAGATCGGGAAGATCTTCAATGAGTTCGACCCTCAACAATGTCCTCTTCCCGAAGATGGAGGTCCAGCTCGCAGGTTGCCGTTCTGACAACATTGCGGAGATCCAGCGATTTGCCCGTTTTCACGCAGAATTTCTTTGTTCCAAGTTGCTCTCCATGATGAAATATCAGACGCGGCGACGCACGCGCTCAGAATAGCACCAGTTGCACAGCTCCTGATGTATACAGGACGATGTCTTTTGGCATATTGACTTATGAAGGTTGGTGCTCCCTGTGACTGTGTGTGCAGCCTTGTGCTGCCATCTGTTGGTGTGTTACAAAACTAGTCTTGAAACTTTTTGATACCGCCTCGTATGTACACTCTTTAGTCTGCTCCGGTCATGTGACCCCGGCAGTTCCAGCTTCCCCGTGTCATGGAGCGCTCGACGACAGCTCAGAATTCTGAGAGCCTTCAGGTCACCCATAGGCTTCCATAACCCAGTCATTGTCAGAGCTCCCTCCTCTCCCCTGCAGCACCCGCTCACTGAGGAAGAGAACTCACAGGGGATCCCTCTTCTTCCCTGCAGCGCCCTCTCAATGAGAAAGAGAATTCACAGGGGATCCCTCTTCTCCCCTGCAGCACCCTCTCAATGAGGAAGAGAATTCACAGGGGATCCCTCTTCTCCCCTGCAGCGCCCACTCACTGACACCGGAGAGCTGGAGTTGCAGGATCATGCGACTGGACTCTTAATAGGCAAGTATACACAGGTGAGGCAGCACAGGTAGCAGGAGGGGGGAGGGAAGGGAGCACCCACTGACTGAGAACTCACAGGGGATCCCTCTTCTCCCCTGCAGCACCAGCTCACTGACACAGGAGAGCAGGAGTTGCAGGATCATGTGACCAGACTCCTAATAGGCCAGTATACACAATTGAGGCAGCACAGGCAGCAGGAGGGGGGAGGGAAGGAAGCACCCACTCACTGAGAACGTACAGGGGATCCCTCCTCTCCCCGGAAGCACCCGCTCACTGACACAGGAGTCCAGTCACATGATCCTGCAACTCCAGCTCTCCTGTGTCAGTGACTGGGTGCTGCAGGGGAGAAGAGGGATCCCCCGTGAGTTCTCCTCAGTAAGTGGGTGATTCCTTTCTTCCCGCCTCCTGCTACCCGTACTGCCTCACCTGTGTAGACTGGCCTATGTTGAGTCTGGTCACATGATCCTGCAACTCCAGCTCTCCTGTGTCAGTGAGTGGATGCTGCAGGGGAGAAGAGGGATCCCTCGTGAGTTCTCCTCCTCAGTGAGCGGGTGATTCCTTTCTTCTCCCTCCTGCTACCCGTACTGCCTCACCTGTGTATACTGGCCTATGTTGAGTCTGGTCACATGATCCTGCAACTCCAGCTCTCCTAATAGGCCAGTATACACAGGTGGGGCAGCATAGGTGGCGGGGGGGGGGGGGGGGGGGAGGAATCACCCGCTCACTGAGGAGAACTCACAAGGGATCCTTCTTCTCCCCTGCAGCACCCGCTCACTGACACAGGAGAGCTGGAGTTGCAGGATCATGTGACCAGACTCCTAATAGGCCAGTATACACAGGTGGCAGGAGGGGGGGGGGAGGGAACATTGTTAAGAATGGTATGCTTTAGGCTGGAGTTCTACTTTAAGTTCTGGATCGACTTCAGTACAATCAGCCTGCCCATAGATGGATTGAAATTCGTGGCGTTCCCGCTGAACCCCGATCCATCTATGGCCGACATAAAACTTAAAAGTATCAAAAGGCTACAAATGTAAAAAGGTTTTGAGACAGAGCTCTGTGCAGTCAGAAAGCACAGAGCCCACCGACATCCCCCAATCATTTTATCTCTTCAGCATTGATGTAATGCCGAGCTGCCGCGACATTTCACGATGATTGCAGCGAGTAGGCGGAGCCACACACAGCAATGCGTTTCCCTTCCACAGGATGGCAGAACAGAGACGTTTGTAAAGGTGGAAATCGTTTTGCCGCCAATAAATACACGCGGCGGCCCCTTTAAATGATTCCCCCTTGAAGGGGGAGGAGTTGAGTTTGCTGCGAGGATTTTCTAACCAATCTTCTTCACCCAATCCAAGCTAACCGGTGCCATCGGGGTAAAAACAGACGAATTGTATGAACGATAAAACGAACCAACCACAGCCCGCGCACTGCAGGAACGCCCAGCAACCAATCCGATTCCTTCTACACCAATCCAACCAGCGAGAGATCGAATCTGATTGGTCGCTACAGGTTATGGCGCTCCGTCATTGCATTTGCGCAGGCCTGATGAACGAGCCGTCTCTTACTGGGGGGGGGGGGGGGGGGGGGGGAGGGGCTTTATCAACAAAAACGTAACTTTTCCTCCCTCTGATCTGAAATGGAATTTTTGTTTTTTTAGTAGCAATCAGGTATCCAATCCAGACGTTACACATGACGTTCCTCTTTAATATTGTTTGCGGTGAGTTTTCAGAAGTAATACTTTGCAGGGCACATGAGACGGCGGCAGCCGCAACCAAACATTTTACTGAAGCCGACATCGCGATGGGTTGGTGTGCGGCGCAGGATGAGGCAACGCGGGATCCCCATCACTCTGGTGGCCTCAATTCACGGGTAGCAAAGACGGGAATGTGTGACAACGCGAGGTGGTTGGTGTCAGAGATGGAGGCAGTTCGGTAAGCAAGGTTGGAAAACAAAATAAAAAGAAGACATTTCATTGGCCGCTGCCTCCCTCCCACCCGCTACGGGCTCGCCTGGTTGGCCGGCAGGCGGGCGAGTAAGCTTTGGTTCTCTACAAACTACCCTCGGGCTTCCCCCGTAAGAGTGGACTCCTCCGTCACACACCGCCCTACGGGCAACGCAGGGTGGGGCTTGCTGGAAATGTACTTTCAAAAGGACGGCTCCTCGGAGGAGGTCCCATCTGGCCGGCCCCCCCCTCTGCTTAGCGGCATTAGGTTCGGGGAAGCTGGCACATCTCGCAGTGATCTGTGCCGGCTTGGTTCATAAAGGTGCAGTGCAGACAGGACCACATGGAGGAGGAAGAGGCGGCGTGTGCTGATCCCCCAATAGCCCCGAAATCCTGAAGCTCTGACGGCGGGACTCCAACCGTGCCTGCGGGAGGAGAAAGGACAGTTAGACTAGAGAGGAATATACATATAGGAGGAGGAGAGAGGGGAGGGGAGGAGAGAGAGAGGGGGGAGGGGAGGAGAGAGGGGAGGGGAGGAGAGAGGGGAGGGGAGGAGAAAGGACAGTTAGACTAGAGTGGAATATACATATAGGAGGAGGAGAGAGGGGAGGGGGAGGAGGAGAGAGGGGAGGGGAGGAGGAGAGAGGGGAGGGGAGGAGGAGAGAGGGGAGGGGAGGAGGAGAGAGGGGAGGAGGGGAGAGGAGGAGAGGGGAGGGGAGGAGAAAGGGGAGGAGAGGGGAGGGGAGGAGAAAGGGGAGGAGAGGGGAGGGGAGGAGAAAGGGGAGGAGAGGGGAGGGGAGGAGAGGGGAGGGGAGGAGAAAGGGGAGGAGAGGGGAGGGGAGGAGAAAGGGGAGGAGGGGAGAGGGGAGAGAGGAGGGGAGGGGAGAGAAGAGGAGAAGGGAGGGGAGAGGAGAAGGGAGGAGAAAGGACAGTTAGACAAGAGAGGAATATACATATAGGAAGAGGGGGGGGGGGGGGAGAGGGGAGAGGAGGAGGGGAGAGGAGGAGGGGAGAGGGGGGGGAGAGGGGAGAGGAGGAGGGAGGGGGAGGGGAGGAGAAAGGACAGTTAGACTAGAGAGGAATATACATATAGGAGGAGGAGAGAGGATAGGAGGAGGGAGAAAGGGGAGGGGAGGAGAAAGGGGAGGAGAGGGGAGGGGGGAGGAGAAAGGGGAGGAGAGGGGAGGGGAGGAGAAAGGGGAGGAGGGGAGGGGAGGAGAAAGGGGAGGAGGGGAGAGGGGAGAGAGGAGGGGAGGGGAGAGAAGAGGAGAAAGGGAGGGGAGAGGAGAAAGGACAGTTAGACAAGAGAGGAATATACATATAGGAGGAGGGGAGGGGGGGGGAGAGGGGAGAGGAGGAGGGGAGGGGGGGGCAGAGAGGAGGGAGGGGAGGGGAGAGAGGAGGGAGGGGAGGAGAGAGGAGGGAGGGGAGGGGAGGAGAGAGGAGGGAGGGGAGGGGAGGAGAGAGGAGGGAGGGGAGGGGAGGAGAGAGGAGGGAGGGGAGGGGAGGAGAGAGGAGGGAGGGGGAGGGGAGGAGAGAGGAGGGAGGGGAGGGGAGGAGAGAGGAGGGAGGGGAGGAGAGAGGAGGGAGGGGGAGGAGAGAGGAGGGAGGGGAGGAGGAGAGAGGAGGGAGGGGAGGAGAGAGGAGAGGAGGAGAAGGGAGGGGAGAGGAGAAGGGAGGGGAGAGGAGAGGGAGGGGGAAGGGGAGAGAAGGAGGGGGGAGGGGAGGGGAGGGAGAAGGGAGGGGGGAGAGGAGAAGGGAGGGGAGGGAGGGGGGGGGAGAGAAGGGAGGGGGGGAGAGAAGGGAGGGGGGGAGAGAAGGGAGGGGGGAGGGGAGGGAGGGGGGAGGAAAGAGAAGGGAGGGGGGAGGGGAGGGAGGGGGGAGGAAAGAGAAGGGAGGGGGGAGGAAAGAGAAGGGAGGGGGGAGGGGGGAGGGAGGGGGGAGGGGAGAGAAGGGAGGGAGGAGAGAAGGGAGGGGGGAGGGGAGAGGAGGGAGGGGGGAGGGGAGAGGAGAAGGGAGGGGGGAGGGGAGAGGAGGAGGGGAGGGGAGAGGAGGAGGGGAGAGGAGAAGGGAGAGAAGAAGGGCAGAGAGGGGAGAGGAGAAGGGAGGAGAGGGGAGAGGAGAGAAGAAGGGAGGAGGAGGGGAGAGAAGAAGGAAGGAGAGGGGAGTGGAGAAGTGAGGGGAGAGAAGGGGAGGGGGGGAAGAAGAAGGGGGGGGGGAAGAGGGGGAGAAGAAGGGAGGGGGGAGAAGAAGGGAGGGGAGAGGAGAAGGGAGGGGAGAGGAGAAGGGAGGGGAGAGAAGGGAGAGGAGAGAAGGGAGGAGAAGGAAGGGGGAGAGGAGAGGGGAGGGGAGAGGAGGAGGGGAGAGGAGAGGAGGAGGAGAGGGGAGAGGAGGAGGGAGGAGAGGGGAGAGGGAGAGGAGGAGGAGAGGGGGAGGAGGAGGAGAGGGGGAGAGGAGAGGAGGAGGAGAGGGGAGAGGAGGAGGAGAGGGGAGAGGAGGAGGAGAGGGGAGAGGAGAGGAGGAGGAGAGGGGAGAGGAGAGGGAGAGGGGAGAGGAGAGGAGAAGGGAGAGGAGAGGAGAAGGGAGGGGAGGGGGGAGAGGAGAGGAGAAGGGAGGGGAGGGGAGAGGAGAAAGGGGAGGGGAGAGGAGAAAAGGGAGGGGGAGAGAGGAGAAAAGGGAGGGGAGGGGAGGGGAGAGGAGAAAAGGGAGGGGAGGGGAGGGGAGGGGAGAGGAGAAAAGGGAGGGGAGAGGAGAAAAGGAGGGGGAGAGGAGAAAAGGGAGGGGAGGGGAGAGAAGGGAGGGGAGAGGAGAGAAGGGAGGGAGAGAAGAGAGAAGGGAGGGGGAGAGGAGAGAAGGGAGGGGAGAGGAGAGAAGGGAGGGGAGGGGAGAGGAGAAGTGAGGGGAGAGGAGAAGTGAGGGGAGAGGAGAGGAGGAGAGGAGAAGTGAGGGGAGAGGAGAGGAGGGGAGGGGAGGGGAGAGGAGGGAGGGGAGGGGAGGGGAGAGGAAAAGGGGGGAGGGGAGAGGAGGAGGGGGGGAGGGGAGGAGGAGGAGGGGGGAGGGAAAGGGGGAGGGGGGAGGGGAAAGGAGGAGGGGGGAGGGGAGAGGAGGAGGGGGGAGGGGATGGAGAGGAGGAGGGGGGAGGGGAGAGGAGGAGGGGGGAGGGGGAGAGGAGGAGGGGGGAGGGGAAAGGAGGAGGGGGGAAGGGGAAAGGAGGAGGGGGGAAGGGGAAAGGAGGAGGGGAGGGAAGGGGAAAGGAGGAGGGGGGAGGGGAGAGGAGGAGGGGGAGGGGAGAGGAGGAGGGGGAGGGGAGAGGAGGAGGAGAGAGAGGCGAGGGGAGGAGAGGAGAGAGGCGAGGGGAGGAGAGGAGAGGCGAGGGGAGGAGAGGAGGGAGGGAGGGGAGGAGGGGAGGGAGGGTTGGGAGAGGGGGGGAGGGAGGGTTGGGAGAGGGAGGGTTGGGAGAGGGGGGGAGGGGAGGGGGAGGGTTGGGAGAGGGGAGGGGGAGGGAGAGGGGAGGGGGAGGGTTGGGAGAGGGGAGGGTTGGGAGGGGGAGAGGGGAGGGGGAGGGTTGGGAGGGGAGAGGGGAGGGGGAGGGTTGGGAGGGGAGACGGAAGGGGGAGGGTTGGGAGGGGAGAGGGAAGGGGGAGGGTTGGGAGGGGAGAGGGGAGGGGGAGGGTTGGGAGGGGGAGAGGGGGGAGGGGGGAGGGTTGGGAGGGGAGAGAGGACTGGCTGCCAAGTTCCTCCAGCAGCTCAGCTCCCTCCTCCCAGCAGCTCAGCTCCCCAGCAGCTCAGCTCCCTCCTCCCAGCAGCTCAGCTCCCTCCTCCCAGCAGCTCAGCTCCCCCTCTCAGCAGCTCAGCTCCTCCTCCCAACAGCTCAGCTCCCTCCTCCCATCAGCTCAGCTCCTCCTCCCAACAGCTCAGCTCCCTCCTCCCAGCAGCTCAGCTCCCTCCTCCCAGCAGCTCAGCTCCCTCCTCCCAGCAGCTCAGCTCCCTCCTCCCAGCAGCTCAGCTCCCCTCCTCCCAGCAGCTCAGCTCCCTCCTCTCCCAGCAGCTCAGCTCCCCCTCTCAGCAGCTCAGCTCCTCCTCCCAACAGCTCAGCTCCCTCCTCCCATCAGCTCAGCTCCTCCTCCCAAACAGCTCAGCTCCCTCCTCCCAGCAGCTCAGCTCCCTCCTCCCAGCAGCTCAGCTCCCTCCTCCCAGCAGCTCAGCTCCCTCCTCCCAGCAGCTCAGCTCCTCCTCTCAGCAGCTCAGCTCCTCCTCCCAACAGCTCAGCTCCCTCCTCCCATCAGCTCAGCTCCTCCTCCCAACAGCTCAGCTCCCTCCTCCCAACAGCTCAGCTCCCTCCTCCCAGCAGCTCAGCTCTCTCCTCCCAGCAGCTCAGCTCTCTCCTCCCAGCAACTCAACTCCCCCTCTCAGCAGCTCAGCTCCCTCCTCCCAGCAGCTCAGCTCTCTCCTCCCAGCAACTCAACTCCCCCTCCCAGTAGCTCAGCTCTCTCCTCCCAGCAGCTCAGCTCCCTCCTCCCAGCAGCGGAGCTGAGAGTACGGAATGTTAGGTTTGAGGATGAATTGCTCGGCAGTACTTGCAGCTCCAGAGATCAGTGACATCACACTCAGCGCTCGGCAGTATTATGTCCGAAGCTTTGCTGCAATATAAAGCTGTGAAGTCGTCCTCAGAAAACAAAACACGTTTACGTGGAACATTGAAGGTCAAAGGATCCCTACTTCTCCCTCCCTACTCTGCCCAAGTCAGGTCCGGCCATGGGGGGGGAGGGGGGGGGGGCGGTACTTACTGCACAGCTGCTCGATGGTCGCCCATTGCTCCGACTTCTTCCAGGTCTGTGCCAGCTCCTCGTTCCGGGTCCTCACCGCCTCCAGCAGCAGGCTGATACTGTCCTGGAAGAGGAATGGGCGGAGAAGGGGCGTCACCACAAAGTAACGGAGGAAATGCAGGAAAATCGTTACTTTGTATTGGAAGGAGTGGAGAGGAATCAGAACCCCCGTCAGTCTGTGTCCCCATTATGGAGATTCAAGAAAATAGGAAGTGAAGGAAAACCCCAAATTGTGGGTTGTCACCAGAACAGGAATAGAGGGGAAATCATCCAATGGGGGGCACTGGATCTGGTGATTCCCTCACTTTAGAGGGATTTCCTCTCACTTCTGTGTTGGCTATGGGACAGGAAGTGGAGGGAAATCTCCCCAATGGGACACGGTAACAAAAAAAAACTGACCAGGGTTATACCCCCCCTTACTTTTGTCCCCCCCCCTTATTTCTGCGATTCTCGGTCAGCGATGTTTTTTGTTCTCCCATTACCTCGTTGCCCGATGAAATTGGCTGCGGCCCGAAACACAATGTTCCGCTAATGAGCAGGATGGAAGGGGCGTGGCACAAGAACAAGCTCCACCTCTTTTGTTTTTTTTTCCCAAGGCACTTGAATTCCATCCTACTGCTAATCGTGCCGCACTGCATAGACAACAACAGAGGCCCCCTCTCTGGTGATGAGAATTCCCCGGACTTTGCTGTGATTGCATTTCTAGAACAGGAAGTGAAGGGAAATGTAAGCCCCACCCCCCACCCAACCCCCCGCACATACAATGCACAGCTAAGAGTCCCATGTGGTGCAGGATGAGGTCATGGGACCGCCCACAACCCAGGAAGTAATGCTCCGCCCACACATGAGCCCTCAACTCTTGCAGTGCCACACACTCCCCGGAGTTCAGCTTTAGGTGGATACAAGTCATGTCCAACAACCTCATCATCTGTTTCCATCGTCTCTGAAAGGACGGCACCATCTTTGCTCTGGAATCATCCCCTCACCACATGCTTCCTGGACTGAGATTTCAGTTTACAGAGGAGACAATCATGGAAATCCTGGAGCCTGTGCAGCTCTCAGCAGTGTTTACAAATGTCTGACACAAATCAGCCCCTGCTGCCGCCTCTCACCTTGTGGTTTGCTACAAAGTTACAACGTCTGATCACTGGGGGAGGGGGGGGGACTGAGGAAATGATGATGACTCCTTCTACAAAGTTACAATGTACAGTCTGATCACTGGGGGAGGGGGGACTGAGGAAATGATGATGACTCCTTCTACAAAGTTACAATGTACAGTCTGATCACTGGGGGAGGGGGGGACTGAGGAAATGATGATGACTCCTTCTACAAAGTTACAATGTACAGTCTGATCACTGGGGGAGGGGGGACTGAGGAAATGATGATGACTCCTTCTACAAAGTTACAATGTACAGTCTGATCACTGGGGGAGGGGGGACTGAGGAAATGCCTCCTCCTCCTTCTACAAAGTTACAATGTACAGTCTGATCACTGGGGGAAGGGGGACTGAGGAAACGCCTCCTCCTCCTTCTACAAAGTTACAATGTACAGTCTGATCACTGGGGGAAGGGGGACTGAGGAAACGCCTCCTCCTCCTTCTACAAAGTTACAATGTACAGTCTGATCACTGGGGGGGAGGGGAGACTGAGGAAATGATGACTCCTCCTTCTACAAAGTTACAATGTACAGTCTGATCACTGGGGGAGGGGGGAGACTGAGGAAATGCCTCCTCCTCCTTCTACAAAGTTACAATGTACAGTCTGATCACTGGGGGAGGGGAGACTGAGGAAATGATGACTCCTCCTTCTACAAAGTTACAATGTACAGTCTGATCACTGGGGGAGGGGAGACTGAGGAAATGATGACTCCTCCTTCTACAAAGTTACAATGTACAGTCTGATCACTGGGGGAGGGGAGACTGAGGAAATGCCTCCTCCTCCTTCTACAAAGTTACAATGTACAGTCTGATCACTGGGGGAGGAGACTGAGGAAATGCCTCCTCCTCTTTCAACAAACTCACAATATACAGTCCGATCACTGGGGGAGGGGGAGACTGAGGACACGCCTTCTCCTCTTTCTACAAAGTTACAATGTACAGTCTGATCACTTGGGGAGGGGAGACCGAGGAAATACTTCCTCCTACAAAGTCACAATGTACAGTCTGATCCCTGGGGGAGGGGGGGGAGTGAGCCTAGGCAAAGTCAGTGACTGGAGGTCCGGGATGTCTGCAGTACATTGTGATGTCAGGAGTGTATACACGCAGACTATACATTTACTGACAGGAGTCACATTTGCTCGGAGTTCCTCTTTATGTCCTGTGGCCGGGGGATGGGCGCTTTGTCCCGATTACCAGGCAAGCAAGGACCTCCCAGCCGCAGTCCGTGTTCTGAGCTCATTTCCTGCCATCGGGCAGCCAGTGACACCGCCAGCCAAGGCCAGGGACTGAGAGACAGGCGGGATCCTGGAACGGCCGGCTGGCTGCAGCTGTGTCTCCGTACTGCTGGCGGGGGGTGTCACAGGGAGGAATGTTGGCGCACATTGTGCTCCGGGGGGGTCACAGGGAGGAATGTTGGCGCACATTGTGCTCCGGGGGTGTCACAGGGAAGAATGTTGGCGCACATTGTGCTCCGGGGGTGTCACAGGGAGGAATGTTGGCGCACATTGTGCTCCGGGGGTGTCACAGGGAGGAATGTTGGCGCACATTGTGCTCCGGAGGTGTCACAGGGAGGAATGTTGGCGCACATTGTGCTCCGGGGGGGTCACAGGGAGGAATGTTGGCGCACATTGTGCTCCGGGGGGGTCACAGGGAGGAATGTTGGCGCACATTGTGCTCCGGGGGTGTCACAGGGAGGAATGTTGGAGCACATTGTGCTCCGGGGGGGTCACAGATCCCAAATATAGGAAACTGGCAGAGAAATAACACATCGAGGGGTTAGAAAAGTGTCACTGAGCATGTGCAGACCCTACGGGGTGACGTAACAGACCACAGTGGAACACAGCCATGGTGGGGGTGCCTGCAATTAAAGGAGAACTCCGGTCTTCCCTTCAGTCTTGCACAGGGGTACCAGCTCCTCCCCTTCATAGGTACATCTATGCAAGACTGAAGGGGAGGAGCCGCTGCACCTGTGCAAGACTGGAGGGGAGGAGCCGCTGCACCTGTGCAAGACTGAAGGGGAGGAGCCACTGCACCCGTGCAAGACTGGAGGGGAGGAGCCACTGCACCCGTGCAAGACTGGAGGGGAGGAGCCACTGCACCCGCGCAAGACTGGAGGGGAGGAGCCACTGCACCCGCGCAAGACTGGAGGGGAGGAGCCACTGCACCCGCGCAAGACTGGAGGGGAGGAGCCGGTGCACCCGCGCAAGACTGGAGGGGAGGAGCCGGTGCACCCGCGCAAGACTGGAGGGGAGGAGCCGGTGCACCCGCGCAAGACTGGAGGGGAGGAGCCGGTGCACCCGCGCAAGACTGGAGGGGAGGAGCCGGTGCACCCGCGCAAGACTGGAGGGGAGGAGCCGGTGCACCCGCGCAAGACTGGAGGGGAGGAGCCACTGCACCCGCGCAAGACTGGAGGGGAGGAGCCGGTGCACCCGCGCAAGACTGGAGGGGAGGAGCCGGTACACCTGTGCAAGACTAGAGGGGAGGAGCCGGTACACCTGTGACAGAATGAAGGGGAGGAGCCGGTACACCTGTGACAGAATGAAGGGGAGGAGCCGGTACACCTGTGACAGAATGAAGGGGAGGAGCCGGTACACCTGTGACAGAATGAAGGGGAGGAGCCGGTACACCTGTGACAGAATGAAGGGGAGGAGCCGGTACACCTGTGACAGAATGAAGGGGAGGAGCCGGTACACCTGTGACAGAATGAAGGGGAGGAGCCGTTACACCTGTGACAGAATGAAGGGGAGGAGCCGGTACACCTGTGACAGAATGAAGGGGAGGAGCCGGTACACCTGTGACAGAATGAAGGGGAGGAGCCGGTACACCTGTGACAGAATGAAGGGGAGGAGCCGGTACACCTGTGACAGAATGAAGGGGAGGAGCCGGTACACCTGTGACAGAATGAAGGGGAGGAGCCGGTACACCTGAGACAGAATGAAGGGGAGGAGCCGGTACACCTGTGACAGAATGAAGGGGAGGAGCCAGGAAACCTGTGACAGAATGAAGGGGAGGAGCCGGTACACCTGTGACAGAATGAAGGGGAGGAGCCGGTACACCTGTGACAGAATGAAGGGGAGGAGCCGGTAAACCTGTGACAGAATGAAGGGGAGGAGCCGGTACACCTGTGACAGAATGAAGGGGAGGAGCCGGTACACCTGTGACAGAATGAAGGGGAGGAGCCGGTACACCTGTGACAGAATGAAGGGGAGGAGCCGGTACACCTGTGACAGAATGAAGGGGAGGAGCCGGTACACCTGTGACAGAATGAAGGGGAGGAGCCGGTACACCTGTGACAGAATGAAGGGGAGGAGCCGGTACACCTGTGACAGAATGAAGGGGAGGAGCCGGTACACCTGTGACAGAATGAAGGGGAGGAGCCGGTACACCTGTGACAAAATGAAGGGGAGGTGCCGGTACACCTGTGACAGAATGAAGGGGAGGAGCCGGTACACCTGTGCAAGCCTGAAGGGGAGGAGCCAATACACCTGTGCAAGACGGAAGGGGAGGAGCCAGTACACCTGTGCAAGCCTGAAGGGGAGGAGCCGGTACACCTGTGACAGAATGAAGGGGAGGAGCCGGTACACCTGTGACAGAATGAAGGGGAGGAGCCGGTACACCTGTGCAAGACTGAAGGGGAGGAGCCGGTACACCTGTGCAAGACTGAAGGGGAGGAGCCGGTACACCTGTGCAAGACTGAAGGGGAGGAGCCAGTAGACCTGTGCAAGCCTGAAGGGGAGGAGCCAGTACACCTGTGCAAGACTGAAGGGGAGGAGCCAGTACACCTGTGCAAGCCTGAAGGGGAGGAGCCAGTACACCTGTGCAAGCCTGAAGGGGAGGAGCCAGTACACCTGTGCAAGCCTGAAGGGGAGGGGATCTATGAAAAGATAGAATGATTGTCTGATGCCGAGAAACCTGACATCTGTGGCCCATTACATCATATGGGGCCACGAGGGTCAAAGTGCCCGGTACAAATCCTTAGTAAGACTTCATCAGGAAGATGTTCAGTTTTGGGCTCCAATTCACAAAACGGATATCAGAGGAGTGGAGAGAATGTAGAGAAGGGCAACCTGACACTGAATTATCTCCAAACTATGACTCTGATGGGGACACTCAGGTAAGGGGGGACTCTGATGGGACACTGATGGGGACTCTCAGGTAAGGGGGACACTGATGGGGACTCATGTACGGGGGACACTGATGGGGACTCATGTACGGGGGACACTGATGGGGACTCTCACGCACGGGGGACACTGATGGGGACTCTCAAGTAAGGGGGGACACTGATGGGGACTCTCATGTAAGGGGGGACACTGATGGGGACTCTCATGTAAGGGGAGACTCTGATGGGGTTTCTAGTGTTAGGGGGTGCTCTCAAGTAAAGGGGGACACTGATGGGGACTCGTATAAGGGGACTCTGATAGGGACTCCCATGTAAAGGGGGACAGTGCTGAGGATTCTCATGTAAAAAAGGACTCTGATGGGGACTCTAGTGTTGGGCGGGGCTCTCATGTTGTTCTGATATAAATCAATAATTCCGATTACCAATCTGATTGTGTTGCAGAGATCAGGTGACACGCACTGCGGTGGTCCCGGCACTGGACTGATCCCGACTGTCCTCCGCGGTTCCCATAGACTTCTATTATGTCTGGGATTTTGGTACGAAAAGCTCACATAAGATGCTCCATGCAGGACTTTGGTTGCTTTCACAAAACGTTCCGAACCCCCCGAACATACCAGACGTCTGTGGGGAACCGCGGGAACGCTGCACTGCACACGTGATGTGGCCTCCAGGCACCCCATCCCTGACCGCACAGTAATAGGGAGGACCACTGCAAGAAGTCCATCCGTGACATTTCCTGGCTACTAAATATTCCACGCTCAACTGTTAGTGGGATTATAACAAAGTGGAAGCCACTGGGAACAACAGCCACTCAGCCACCAAGTGATAGGCCACGTCACATGACAGGGCGGGGTCAGCGCATGCTGAAGCGCACAGTGCGCAGAAGTCGCCAACTGTCTGCAGAGTCAATAGCTAAAGACCTCCAAACTTGGTGTGGCCTTCAGATGAGCCCAACAACAGTGTGTAGAGAGCTTCATGGAATGGGTTTCCATGGCCGAGCAGCTGCATCCAAGCCTTCCATCACCAAGTGCAATGCAAAGCGTCGGATGCCGTGGTGTAAAGCATGCCGCCACTGGACTCTAGAGCAGAGGAGACGTGTTCTCTGGAGTGATCAATCACGCCTCTCTGTCTGGCAATCCGATGGACGTGTCTGGTTTGGTGGTGGCCAGGAGAACGGTACTTGCCTGACTGCATTGTGCCAAGTGTAGAGTTTGGTGGAGGAGGGATTATGGTGTGGGGTTGTTTTTCAGGGGTTGGACTTGGCCCCCTAGTTCCAGTGAAGGGAACTCTTAAGGTGACATTTTGGACAATTTCATGCTCCCAACTTTGTGGGAGGAGTTTGGGGATGGCCCCTTCCTGTTCCAACATGACTGCCCCCCAGTGCACAAAGCAAGGTCCATAAAGACATGGAGGAGCCAGTTTGGGGTGGAGGAACTTGACTGTCCTGCACAGAGTCCTGACCTCAACCCCATAGAACACCTTTGGGATGAATTAGAGCGGAGACTGTGAGTCAGGCCCCCTCCCCCGACATCAGTGCCTCCTCCCCCGACATCAGTGCCCCTCCCCCGACATCAGTGCCTGACCTGACAAATGTGCTTCTGGAAGAATGGTCCAACCTTCCCATAGACACCCTCCTAAACCTTGTGGACGGCCTTCCCAGAAGAGTTGAAGCTGTTATAGCTGCAAAGGGTGGGGCCAACTCAATATTGAACCCTACGGACTAAGACTGGGGGCCATTAAAGGTCATGTGTGTGGAAAGGGCGGGGCCAACTCAATATTGAACCCTACGGACTAAGACTGGGGGCCATTACAGGTCATGTGTGTGGAAAGGGCGGGGCCAACTCAATATTGAACCCTACGGACTAAGACTGGGGGGCCATTAAAGGTCATGTGTGGGGAAAGGGCGGGGCCAACTCAATATTGAACCCTACGGACTAAGACTGGGGGGACATTAAAGGTCATGTGTGTGGAAAGGGCGGGGCCAACTCAATATTGAACCCTACGGACTAAGACTGGGGGGCCATTAATGGTCATGTGTGTGGGAAGGGCAGGGCCAACTCAATATTGAACCCTATGGACTAAGACTGGGGGGCCATTAAAGGTCATGTGTGTGTGGGAAGGGCGGGGCCAACTCAATATTGAACCCTACGGACTAAGACTGGGGGGCCATTAAAGGTCATGTGTGTGGGAAGGGCGGGGCCAACTCAATATTGAACCCTACGGACTAATACTGCGGGGGCCATTAAAGGTCATGTGTGTGGAAAGGGCGGGGCCAACTCAATATTGAACCCTATGGACTAAGACTGGGGGGCCATTAAAGGTCATGTGCGTGGAATGGGCGGGGCCAACTCAATATTGAACCTTATGGACTAAGACTGGGGGGCCATTAAAGGTCATGTGCGTGGGAAGGGCGGGGCCAACTCAATATTGAACCCTACGGACTAAGACTGGGGGGCCATTAAAGGTCATGTGCGTGGGAAGGGCGGGGCCCAATACTTGGGGCAATATAGTGTAACTGCTTTTAGTAGAGAGGTCATCCTCTGGAAAGTGCTGGAAGTAGGAGGAGTTTAAAGGGCTGCACCAAAGTTCTGTTTGCCGGTGTCCAGTTCCCGGAAGGCGGCCCCATATAATCTATGAATAGAAGAGCCGGGTCCAATAATACACAACTAAGAAACATCATTGAAGGAACGTCTTCCCCACCACAAGTCACATAATCCTCTCCACCCGGAGTTCCACTTTAAATATTGAGTTACATTCAGTCATAATCTCAGTCCGCCGCAAGGGGCGGAGCAATAATAGTGTGGCGCTGTCTGTAGTCGCTCATACCGGGATGGACCAAACAAATCGCCTCGTCATCGGCCACCTTACAAGGCTAGGAGATCCGAAGCTCTAGGACCGTTCCACGAGCACCTACCTGTAGAGGCATCACATCATTGGTGACCAGGAAGAGGAGTAGGTGGAAGTCTGAGATGATATCCAGGAAAACGGAGGATGGATTCTGGGTCAGGTAGGTGGCCAGGCTGTGAAAGTCCTACGGAAAAAAAAAAAACGAACATTAATGGTAGCAAAGCTAGAATGTCATTAACAGAAAATGGTCACCATCCCCCGACACGTCCCAACCTCAACATTTACTTCTCTGACTGTTCCTGAACCCCCAACAGTCCAAGCCATCTGTAGATGCAGCAAAGCATGCTGGTTATACTCACTGTGGAACCTAAGGGGTTAATCATCCGAAAAAAAGGCTGTTTGATCCTATTTTACCTGATCCTCCCCTTCTTCTACTGTCCCCAATCCATATGCTGCTAATACCGAGCTCTAGAAGTCACTTTGCACATGCTCAGTTTAGTGTGGTTTGCTAAAGAGTTTTTTTTCTCTTTGGGAAGTGCATGTAATCAGCACAGGGCCAATCAAAGCTGTCCACACAGAGGTCAGGGGTCATGCAGTGTCCAGACAGGCACTAGTTAATCTTGTAGGAGGAGTTTTCATTCTCCTTTGACACTGACAGTCCTTTGAGGGAGGGATCTATTGGATGGAGATCTGGTGACTGGAGGCCATTGGAGTCCAGTGACCTCATTGTCATGTTCCAGAAACCAGTTGGAGATGATTGGAGCTTTGTGACATGGAGCGTTATCCTGCTGGGAGGAGCCATCAGAAGATGGGGACACTGGAGTCAGATGATGGGATGGACATGGTCAGCAACAAGACTCAGGTAGGCCACGGTGTGTAAACGATGCTTAACTGGTACGAAGGGGTCCAAAGTGTGCCAAGAAAATCTCCCCCACACCATGACACCACCACCACCAGCCTGAACCATGGATACAAGGCAGGATGGATCCACCACACCATGACACCACCAGCCTGAACCATTGATACAAGGCAGGATGGATCCCCCACACCATGACACCACCACCACCAGCCTGAACCATTGATACAAGGCAGGATGGATCCCCCACACCATGACACCACCAGCCTGAACCATGGATACAAGGCAGGATGGATCCACCACACCATGACACCACCAGCCTGAACCGTTGATACAAGGCAGGATGGATCCCCCACACCATGACACCACCACCAGCCTGAACCGTTGATACAAGGCAGGATGGATCCCCCACACCATGACACCACCACCAGCCTGAACCATTGATACAAGGCAGGATGGATCCCCCACACCATGACACCACCACCACCAGCCTGAACCATTGATACAAGGCAGGATGGATCCACCACACCATGACACCACCACCAGCCTGAACCATGGATACAAGGCAGGATGGATCCCCCACACCATGACACCACCACCAGCCTGAACCATGGATACAAGGCAGGATGGATCCCCCACACCATGACACCACTACCAGCCTGAACCATTGATACAATGCAGGATGGATCCCCCACACCATGACACCACCACCAGCCTGAACCATTGATACAAGGCAGGATGGATCCCCCACACCATGACACCACCACCACCAGCCTGAACCGTTGATACAAGGCAGGATGGATCCCCCACACCATGACACCACCACCACCAGCCTGAACCATTGATACAATGCAGGATGGATCCCCCCCACCATGACACCACCACCAGCCTGAACCATGGATACAAGGCAGGATGGATCCCCCCCACCATGACACCACCACCAGCCTGAACCATGGATACAAGGCAGGATGGATCCCCCACACCATGACACCACCACCACCAGCCTGAACCATTGATACAATGCAGGATGGATCCCCCACACCATGACACCACCACCACCAGCCTGAACCATGGATACAAGGCAGGATGGATCCACCACACCATGACACCACCACCACCAGCCTGAACCATTGATACAAGGCAGGATGGATCCCCCACACCATGACACCACCACCACCAGCCTGAACCATGGATACAAGGCAGGATGGATCCATGCTTTCATGTTTTTTATGCCAAATTCTGACCCCACCATCTGCATGTTGCAGCTGAAATCCAGACTCATCAGAACAGGCAACATTTCTCCAATCTTCTGTTGGCCAATTTTGGTGATCCTGTGCGAAATTTAGCCTCCATGTCCTGTTCTTAGCTGACAGGAGTGGCACCCGGTGTGGTCTTAGCTGACAGGAGTGGCACCCGGTGTGGTCTTAGCTGACAGGAGTGGCACCCGGTGTGGTCTTCTGCTGCTGTAGCCCATCTGCTTCAAGGTTGGACGTGTTGTGCATTCAGAGATGGTATTCTGCATACCTTGGGTGTAACGAGGGGTTATTGGAGTTACTGTTACCTTTCTATCATCTCCAACCAGTCTCTGCCCATTCTCCTCTGACACCAACAAGGCCTTTTCCTCCACACAACTGCCACTCACTGGATATTTTCTCTTTTTTGGACCATTCTCTGTAACCCCTAGAGATGGATGTGTGGGAAAATCCCGCAGATCAGCAGTTTTTGAAATCCTCAGACCAGCCCGTCTGGCACCAACAACCATGCCACGTTCAGTCACTTCAATCCCCTTTCTTCCCCATTCTGATGCTCGGTTTGAACTTCAGCAAGTCGTCTTCACCACGTCTAGATGCCTAAATGCATTGAGTTGCTGCCATGTGATTGGCTGATTAGCAATTTGCCAAGCAACTGAACAGGTGGACCTAACAAAGTGTCCGGTGAGTGTAGATTGTACATTCACACAAGTCCCTGTCCTCAAGGAGCTTACAATCTAAAGTCCCTATCTCACATACGAGGGCCATCACTTTCTAAGGGGCAGAGTCAATGGATCACTTGGTCTGTTTAGACTCGAGCCAATTGGCTACCAGCATGTCTTTGGAGGAAACCAGGACAGCCAGAGGAAACCCACATAAGCACAGGAAGAACATGCAAACTCCATGCATATACTGTCCTGGCTGGGATTCGTACCAATGACCTCCGTGCCACAAGGCCAAACCTCGGGGTTCATCTTTAGGACTCGGCAAATAAATCTTACTACATCTTCTGTCAGCATCGGGTTTCCCGGCAGTAAATGTTGCTCGTGCCTCACCTGAGTTTCACCCAAGGCTTCTCTGTTTTCGATGGGAAACAAGTTGGATGACGTGGAAAACGTATAGACTGGATCCTTAGGGAAGGTGGTGGTGATCTACAGAGCAGAATAAACGAGGTCAGGATGGACAGATCAACGCCAACAGCAAAACCAAAGCATTAGAACCGGTCATGACGTGTGTGGGAACAAACGATAAATCGGTGATCATGATCAGCCAAGAATGGATTGCCAGGGTGGTCACCCAGACAGGAAGTGATGGTGGATCTCCAGTCCCCACACATTGACAGGACGAAGGGGAATACTTACATCGATGATCAAATACTCTACAGGCAGAGGCCGGGCCAGCTGGGTGATTTCATTACCGAACTTGTCCACGTCCTGCAAGGAAGAACGGCCGACGGTGAAACACAACCTCACATTCCTCCAGAAATATTCACATTTCATTCATCTCACAGCGAGATCTAAGACACGAGATAATGCAGCTTCATATGTATTACCCCCCGTCACGGGTCATACATGTACACGTGGCAGCACAGACGTGGGCTGTAACCACCTGGCAACCGCGCTATAGCTGAATGACGGTTACAGGTTGGTTGTCCACATCTGGGAGGGTGTCATATGAAGTCCTACAGACACAGCTGATCATGTGATGTGGTGAAAGGCCAATCACAGCGCCCTTTTACCTTGAGATCAGTCGTGTCCAATGACAGAGCAGATCGCCGGTAAATGCAGTTGCTGGTTATCGGCTGCACTTTCCTCGCACTGTCAGAGGACGGATCGGCACCGATCATCACTGCCCTGATGATCAGTGCCCAGCAGTACCGCCCACAAGTGCCCAGCAATACCGCCCACCTGTGCCCAGCAGTGCTGCCCACAAGTGCACAGCAATACCGCCTACAAGTGCCCAGCAATACCGCCCACAAGTGCCCAGCAGTACCGCCCACCTGTGCCCAGCAATACCGCCCACCTGTGCCCAGCAGTACCGCCCACCTGTGCCCAGCAGTACCGCCCACCTGTGCCTAGCAGTACCGCCCACCTGTGCCTAGCAGTACCGCCCACCTGTGCCTAGCAGTACCGCCCACCTGTGCCTAGCAGTACCGCCCACCTGTGCCTAGCAGTACCGCCCACCTGTGCCTAGCAGTACCGCCCACCTGTGCCCAGTAGTGCAGCTTACCAGTGTCCATCAGTGCCTAGTAGAGCCACCTGTGCCCAGCAAAGCCTAGCAGTGCCAAAGGCTTAAAATGCATTCACATATGTAGGAGGCTGTAGTCGCATCAAAACATCCTCGAAGCAACGGAGGATTTCCTCCCCTTCCTGACCTGGCCATTATTTGCGTTACGGTGCTGCGTTACTTTAACTGACAATTGCGCGGTCATGCAACACCATACCCAAATGAAAATCACATATATATACACACACACACACACACGTGTGTGATATTGCGCACCCCCTGCTGCAAAACACATACCCGAAAATGAAATTGGAAATATCCTCCTGCGCTCAATACAGGCAAGGTCCCTAAATCAACAGCTGCTGTCACTTTACCTTAAACCAGTGGTCGGCAAGCCGCGGCTCGCGAGCCACATGCGGCTCTTTACCCACTCTAATGCGGCTCTTCTGTGTGCCGGGCGCCTGCTCCCCTCCCTCCTCTCGGTCGGCCGCTCCCCTGCCTCCTCTCGGTTGGCCGCCCCAAAAGTCCGCGCGGACCTTTTAATCCGGCCCGCGGATGTGGCTGTCAGGATGTGTGTAGGCGGGGCAGCATGCCGAACGTGAGGGGAGGGGAGCTAGGCTCCTCTCACAGTCCGCCTTGAAGACCCGAACGGCGCGGGAAGACAGCGAGAGGAAAGGTAAGTGAATTGACACGGGGGACTTGGCTTACTAGAAGGGGGGGGGGAATAGTACTGTGGGGGATGAAATACTATATGAGGGATGAAATACTATATGGGGGATGCATTACTATGTGGGGGATGAAATACTATATGAGGGATGAAATACTATATGGGGGGATGAAATACTATATGAGGGATGAAATACTATATGAGGGATGAAATACTATAGGGGATGAATTACTATATGAGGGATGAAATACTATATGAGGGATGAAATACTATATGAGGGATGAAATACTATATGGGGGGATGAAATACTATATGGGGGGATGAAATACTATATGGGGGGATGAAATACTATATGAGGGATGAAATACTATATGGGGGGATGAAATACTATATGGGGGGATGAAATACTATATGAGGGATGAAATACTATATGGGGGGATGAAATACTATATGGGGGGATGAAATACTATATGAGGGATGAAATACTATATGGGGGGATGAAATACTATATGGGGGGATGAAATACTATATGGGGGGATGAAATACTATATGAGGGATGAAATACTATATGGGGGGATGAAATACTATATGGGGGGATGAAATACTATATGGGGGGATGAAATACTATATGGGGGGATGAAATACTATATGAGGGATGAAATACTATATGGGGGGATGAAATACTATATGGGGGGATGAAATACTATATGGGGGGATGAAATACTATATGGGGGGATGAAATACTATACGAGGGATGAAATACTATACGGGGGATGAAATACTATACGGGGGATGAAATACTATACGGGGGATGAAATACTATACGGGGGATGAATTACTATGGGGGATGAATTACTATATGGGGGATGAATTACTATATGGGGGATGAATTACTATGGGAGATGAATTACTATGGGGGATGAATTACTATATGGGGGATGAATTACTATGGGGGATGAATTACTATATGGGGGATGAATTACTATATGGGGGATGAATTACTATATGGGGGATGAATTACTATGGGGGATGAATTACTATATGGGGGATGAATTACTATATGGGGGATGAATTACTATGGGGGATGAATTACTATATGGGGGATGAATTACTATATGGGGGATGAATTACTATGGGGGATGAATTACACTATGGGGGATGAATTACTATATGGGGGATGAATTACTATATGGGGGATGAATTACTATATGGGAGATGTATTTTCAGTTTTAAAAATGTGGCTCTCAAAATAAATTTCAATCATGGTTTTGGCGAGATTTGGCTCAGTTGAAAAAAAAGGTTGCCCACCACTGCCTTAAACCATTAAGTAACCAATTATATACCTTAAATTAGTGAAGCGCTAAATAAATAAATCTATATATCTAATAAAGTGCCATCAGTGAATAATAGTGCTTTAGTGTTAATAGTTCCTTATTAATCAATGGAACACTACAACTGATATTTACCGAATTAACAAACTCATATTCATATATAAACATCAAACTGAATCCATAATATATCAGTGATAGATAGTATAATCCGTGGAAAATAATATTTAAATCTAAAATAAATTCCTACTTCCCATTCAATATTTAAAGTGAAAATTAATAATTAATAATTTAAAGTGAACAAGTGTATATGACAAACAAAAAAACTTTTCCATGTGCATATACAAAAAATATATATATAAAAATTATATATATATATATATATATAAAAGTCCATGCAGGTGTAACTTGTGACAAAACGGTGATCTTCACTTCTAGTGCTCAAACAAATCCTCAAATGGCAGCAGTGCCTGCTCACCTCCCCGCACTGACCCTCAAGGGGCCAAAAGACTACTGGTCTCCTCTATGGCCAATCTTTATTTCCAGGTAGCTCAGCAGGGGATCACAGGGTTTCCACTCCACCTCCACTTATAGGTCACATAGGACACAAACAGAGCCTCCCATAGTGTAATATTGTTTAATACAAAACACTTCTAATACATATCGGTTGCACTCACATTTGTTTCCTGGTTACAAAAGCCTTCCACCTCATCCCATAGGTGTATCTCATGAAAACAGGGAAAACCAATATGGCCGCTACGTTCGGACATGCGTCCCCACGTGACCGGAAGTGACGTAATTCCAAACCGGATATGGCGTACCGACGCGTTGCGTCACGTGCGTCGTGACTTCATCAGGGTTCCCTATCAGGGTTTATCTAGCGCTTCACTAATTTAAGGTATAAAACACATACCCCTGGTTCACATATATGTGGACTCCGGTGCCCCGGGACACACAGGGAAGAAGTCCCGGCACTTCTGAAAACACAGCCGAGGTTCCCAGTACGGTTGCGATTTCCAGTGCGGGCGGCGTGTCATTAGAACTAATGGCACCCGCCTTCGGGTCTGTGTTCCACAGTGTGGGTGGTGCAGGCAGCAGGTCCGCATTCCTCTGTGTGGGTGGTGCAGCTGCGGGTCGGCATTCCTCTGTGTGGGTGTGCGGCTGCGGGTCGGCATTCCTCTGTGTGGGTGGTGCGGCTGCGGGTCGGCATTCCTCTGTGCGGGTGGTGCGGTTGCACAGATTTTCATGCGGATCCGTAGCCGCACCACCCGCACAGATGTGAACGCAGCCTGTGACTCGTGTTCTCATTATGACATCGGCGTCTCTTCTCCCTGATGACAGAACTGACCTGATTGGACACCTATAGAAGACGTCGGGGACGTACTGCTCGCTGCTCGACTCTTTGGGGTATCCCAGCTCCGGGACATCTCTGCACGGCAGGAGGCACTCATCCCGTACAAGCGCCATACACTGATTGGACACCTGGTACCCCTCAAAGTGCACTTGGTTATCAGGGCCGCCTATTGGAGGAAACAGAGGGAGGGAGGAGCTCTAATATGAATGTCGCCACATTGCAGCGTGAATGCTGACATATTGCATGATAAATGAGGAGGCTTCCCCACACTGTATAGTACTGAGGCCCTGTGGTAGCCTTGATCTGTCCCTTGCGCTCTAATCCTCACGCTGAAACCAATGATGGGGCACTATTCCTCCCATTGACACCAGTGATGGGGCACTATTCCTCCCACTGACACCAATGATGGGGCAGTGATATTCCTCCCACCTGACACCAATGATGGGGCACTATTCCTCCCACTGACACCAATGATGATGGGGCACTATTCCTCCTCCCACTGACACCAATGATGGGGACACTATGGGGCACTATTCTCCCACTGACACCAATGATGGGGCACTATTCCTCCCACTGACACCAATGATGGGACACTATTCCTCCCACTGACACCAATGATGGGGCACTATTCCTCCCACTGACACCAATGATGGGGCACTATTCCTCCCACTGATACCAATGATGGGGCACTATTCCTCCCACTGGCGCCAATGACACCAATGACGGGGCACTATTCCTCCCCACTGGCGCCAATGACGGGGAACTATTCCTCCCACTGGCGCCAATGACCGGGCACTATTCCTCCCACTGGCACCAATGACGGGGCACTATTCCTCCCACTGACACCAATGAGGGGGCACTATTCCTCCCACTGACACCAATGATGGGACACTATTCCTCCCACTGACACCAATGATGGGACACTATTCCTCCCACTGACACCGATGATGGGACACTATTCCTCCCACTGACACCAGTGATGGGGCACTATTCCTCCCACTGACACCAGTGATGGGGCACTATTCCTCCCACTGACACCAGTGATGGGGCACTATTCCTCCCACTGACACCAGTGATGGGGCACTATTCCTCCCACTGACACCAGTGATGGGGCACTATTCCTCCCACTGACACCAGTGATGGGGCACTATTCCTCCCACTGACACCAGTGATGGGGCACTATTCCTCCCACTGACACCAGTGATGGGGCACTATTCCTCCCACTGACACCAGTGATGGGGCACTATTCCTCCCACTGACACCAGTGATGGGGCACTATTTTCCTCCCACTGACACCAGTGATGGGGCACTATTCCTCCCACTGACACCAGTGATGGGGCACTATTCCTCCCACTGACACCAGTGATGGGGCACTATTCCTCCACTGACACCAGTGATGGGGCACTATTCCTCCCACTGACACCAGTGATGGGGCACTATTCCTCCCACTGACACCAGTGATGGGGCACTATTCCTCCCACTGACACCAATGATGGGGCACTATTCCTCCCACTGACACCAATGATGGGGCACTATTCCTCCCACTGACACCAATGATGGGGCACTATTCCTCCCACTGACACCAATGATGGGGCACTATTCCTCCCACTGACACCAATGATGAGGCACTATTCCTCCCACTGACACCAATGATGGGACACTATTCCTCCCACTGACACCAATGATGGGGCACTATTCCTCCCACTGACACCAATGATGGGGCACTATTCCTCCCACTGACACCAATGATGGGGCACTATTCCTCCCACTGACACCAATGATGGGACACTATTCCTCCCACTGACACCAATGATGGGACACTATTCCTCCCCACTGACACCAATGATGGGACACTATTCCTCCCACTGACACCAATGATGGGACACTATTCCTCCCACTGACACCAATGATGGGCACTATTCCTCCAATGATGGGACACTATGACACTAGTGATGGGGCACTATTCCTCCCACTGACACCATGATGGGGCACTATTCCTCCCACTGACACCATGATGGGCAATCCCACTGACACATGATGGCTGCCACCTTACCTTTGGTACTATCGATAATAATGTGAAGGCTGCCATATTTCTCCCACACCAGTGGCAGGGTAAGTTGAAGGGGGTCCTCAACTTGAATCCCACCCCAGTGACACTATCTACATGGAGTTTGCATATTTCCCCCCCTGTGCAGTGTGGGTATTTCTTCGGGTACACCGGTTTTCCTCCCACACTGCTGGTAGGATATTCCTCCCAACCGGCTCCTGTCTAAATTGACACCTAGTATGTGTGAATGTGAGTCATGGGACCTCAGACTGTATGCTCCTCGGGGGCGGGGCTGGGACTGATGTAAAGAGCTGTTATATGAACATCAGATGGGTAATAATGTGAAATTTCCTCCACACGGGATGGCGGACTGCGTTGCTTTATACAGAGGTCACTTACAGTCAGTCCGAGCCTCATTTATGACACCCCCACTGGCACCTCTAGGAGGTTAGGTTATCGCAGAGTTGGGTCTCAAAAGTGAGGCAATTATTCTTGGTGGGGCCAGAAAGCGACAAATAAGAGCTATTCCTCCCCTGTCACCGTCTTTACCGGACCCTCATGGGGCACCCTTCCAGGTCTCACAATGATGGGGTTCTCCCACTGACAAATGGGGTTCCGGAGACTGAAACCTAATGTAGCCACTACAGTCACAAACTTCGAGCCAAAGTGTCCGTCCGGTGAGAGGCGGCAAAATGTTGGGGTGCTGGTTCTGGAAGAAGATGGGGCGGTGATGCACTCTTCTGCGCTCAGGAAATACGCATCCTGTGAAGAGAAAGAGGTTTTTTATTGGAGGAGAGGAACCATCGATAAGAGGAGGGGGAGCCATCAATAAGAGGAGGAGGAGGAGCATCGATAAGAGGAGGGGAGCCATCGATAAGAGGAGGGGAGCCATCGATAAGAGGAGAGGGGCCATCGATAAGAGGGGAGGGGCCATCGATAAGGGAGGGGCCATCGATAAGAGGGAGAGGGGCCATCGATAAGAGGAGAGGGGCCATCGATAAGAGGAGAGGGGCCATCGATAAGAGGAGAGGGGCCATCGATAAGAGGAGGGGAGCCATCGATAAGAGGAGGGGCACCATCGATAAGAGGATTAGCCATCGATAAGAGAAGGGGGAACCATCGATAAGAGGAGAGGAGCCATCGATAAGAGGAGGGGATAAAGCCATCGATAAGAGGAGGGGAGCCATCGATAAGAGGAGGGGAGCCATCGATAAGAGGAGAGGAGCCATCGATAAGAGGAGGGGGGAGCCATCGATAAGAGGAGGGGGAGGCATCGATAAGAGGAGGGGGAGGCATCGATAAGAGGAGGGGGAGCCATCGATAAGAGGAGGGGGAGCCATCGATAAGAGGAGGGGGGGAGCCATCGATAAGAGGAGGGGGAGCCATCGATAAGAGGAGGGGGAGCCATCGATAAGAGGAGGGGGAGCCATCGATAAGAGGAGGGGGAGCCATCGATAAGAGGAGGGGAGCCATCGATAAGAAGAGGAGGATAAGGGAGCCATCGATAAGGAGAGGAGAGGAGCCATCGATAAGAGGAGAGGAGCCATCGATAAGAGGAGGGGAACCATCAATAAGAGGAGGGGAGCCATCAATAAGAGGAGGGGAGCCATCAATAAGAGGAGGGGAGCCATCAGTAAGAGGAGAGGAGCCATCAGTAAGAGGAGGGGAGCCATCAGTAAGAGGAGGGGAGCCATCGATAAGAGGAGCCATCGATAAGAGGAGGGGAGCCATCGATAAGAGGAGGGGAGCCATCAATAATGGGAGGAGCCATCGATAACAGGAGGGGAGCCATCGATAACAGGAGGGGAGCCATCGATAAGAGGAGGGGAGCCATCAATAAGAGGAGGGGAGCCATCAATAAGAGGAGGGGAGCCATCAATAAGAGGAGGGGAGCCATCAATAAGAGGAGAGGGGCCATCAATAAGAGGAGAGGGGCCATCAATAAGAGGAGGGGAGCCATCAGTAAGAGGAGGGGAGCCATCAATAAGAGGAGGGGAGCCATCAATAAGAGGAGGGGAGCCATCAATAAGAGGAGGGGAGCCATCAATAAGAGGAGGGGGAGCCATCAATAAGAGGAGGGGAGCCATCAATAAGAGGAGGGGAGCCATCAATAAGAGGAGGGAGAAGCCATCAATAAGAGGAGGGGGAGCCATCAATAAGAGGAGGGGGAGCCATCAATAAGAGGAGGGGGAGCCATCAATAAGAGGAGGGGGGCCATCAATAAGAGGAGCCATCAATAAGAGGAGCCATCAATAAGAGGAGCCATCAATAAGAGGAGCCATCAATAAGAGGAGGGGAGCCATCAATAAGAGGAGGGGAGCCATCAATAAGAGGAGGGGAGCCATCAATAAGAGGAGGGGAACCATCAATAAGAGGAGGGGAGCCATCAATAAGAGGAGGGGAGCCATCAATAAGAGGAGAGGGGCCATCAATAAGAGGAGAGGGGCCATCAGTAAGAGGAGGGGAGCCATCAATAAGAGGAGGGGAGCCATCAATAAGAGGAGGGGAGCCATCAATAAGAGGAGGGGGAGCCATCAATAAGAGGAGGGGGAACCATCAATAAGAGGAGGGGGAGCCATCAATAAGAGGAGGGGAGCCATCAATAAGAGGAGGGGAGCCATCAATAAGAGGAGGGGAGCCATCAATAAGAGGAAGCCATCAATAAGAGGAGGGGGAGCCATCAATAAGAGGAGGGGGAGCCATCAATAAGAGGAGGGGGAGCCATCAATAAGAGGAGGGGGGCCATCAATAAGAGGAGCCATCAATAAGAGGAGCCATCAATAAGAGGAGGGGAGCCATCAATAAGAGGAGAGGGGCCATCAATAAGAGGAGGGGAGCCATCAATAAGAGGAGGGGAGCCATCAATAAGAGGAGGGGAGCCATCAATAAGAGGAGGGGAGCCATCAATAAGAAGAGGGGAACCATCAATAAGAGGAGGGGAGCCATCAATAAGAGGAGAGAAGCCATCAATAAGAGGAGGGGGAGCCATCAATAAGAGGAGGGGAGCCATCAATAAGAGGAGGGGAGCCATCAATAAGAGGAGGGGAGCCATCAATAAGAGGAGGGGAGCCATCAATAAGAGGAGGGGGAGCCATCAATAAGAGGAGGGGGAGCCATCAATAAGAGGAGGGGGGCCATCAATAAGAGGAGCCATCAATAAGAGGAGCCATCAATAACAGGAGGGGAGCCATCGATAAGAGGAGGGGAGCCATCAATAAGAGGAGGGGAGCCATCAATAAGAGGAGGGGAGCCATCAATAAGAGGAGGGGAGCCATCAATAAGAGGAGGGGAGCCATCAATAAGAGGAGGGGAGCCATCAATAAGAGGAGAGGGGCCATCAATAAGAGGAGAGGGGCCATCAATAAGAGGAGGGGAGCCATCAGTAAGAGGAGGGGAGCCATCAATAAGAGGAGGGGAGCCATCAATAAGAGGAGGGGAGCCATCAATAAGAGGAGGGGGAGCCATCAATAAGAGGAGGGGAGCCATCAATAAGAGGAGGGGAGCCATCAATAAGAGGACGGGAGCCATCAATAAGAGGAGGGGAGCCATCAATAAGAGGAGGGGAGCCATCAGTAAGAGGAGGGGAGCCATCAATAAGAGGAGGGGGCCATCAATAAGAGGAGGGGAGCCATCAATTAGAGGAGGGGAGCCATCAATAAGAGGAGGGGAGCCATCAATAAGAGGAGGGGAGCCATCAATAAGAGGAGGGGAGCCATCAATAAGAGGAGGGGGAGCCATCAATAAGAGAAGAGGGAGCCATCAATAAGAGAAGAGGGAGCCATCAATAAGAGGAGGGGAGCCATCAATAAGAGGAGGGGAGCCATCAATAAGAGGAGGGGAGCCATCAATAGGTGAACCACAATGAGAGCATTGACCGTTTATTGCTCACCTTGTTCCGGCTGTAGCGGACCGTCCCTTTCCTGGTGTCTTCTGATACCAGGTCTGTGAAGATCCAGCCAACCTGCGTGCAATCAGAAGGTAAGGTGGTCTCACAAAACACACTGAAGTACAAATACTTTCAATTATGCCTCAAAATCCCCCCCCAAAAAACCACTTTAATTCTTTATATTTACTTCCCAGGAATCTTCAAGAGGGGCGTTCATAGTGAAGGACGCCCTCCTGCCTGCATGCCTCAGCTAAGGGTAGACAGATTCAAGGGGGTAAATGCTACATGAATCATCTCACAAAAACGACATTAGACAACATAGAGCGCCCAGGCCCGGGGCTACGACTAGGCAACCAGGCAGCCACCTAGGACGCTAGACGCTGGTTTCCCTCCCCCATGGCTATATCTAGGGGGTGCTTGGGTGGGCTATGCCCCCCCCAGGCTGGTCTTTCCATGGATGCTGTGGCTGACCGCTGAGTGCCCTCCCCCATCCCCCGCACTCATAGCTGTGACAAGGGGAGAGCAGCCTGGAGCAGTGAAGCCTGCAAAGGGGGAATGACAGGAGAGAGGAGGGAGGTGCGGGCTGTGCTCTCCTCTCCTGTCAGAGATCTCCATTAAGCAGGATCGCTTTTACATTGGCATGTTCAGTGTTTGATTCATTCCCTGGATCCATTGGAGGAGAGAGAGGGGCGGGGCAATCAAACTGTGTACAGCCCAATCCAAGAGCGATCCTGTGACATCTGCTGTATGGAGGATCGCTGCACTGACAGGAGAGGAGAGAACAGCCCGCAGCTTTTGGCTCTCTTTGCAGGCTTCAAGGAGGGGGGGGGGGGGGGGGGGGGGGGGGGGTTAAGGAAGAGGATTGGTTCTGGGAGGGGTGATTAGGGGGGATTTATACTAGTAGAGGGGATGGAGGGGGATGGTGGGGGTTTGTGCTAGTAGGAAGGATTGGGGGGGATTTGTGCTATGAAGAGGTGGGGGGGGGGGGGGTTGTGCTGGGAGGATTTGAGCTAGGAAGGAGGGGGGCGGGGTAAAAAATTTGTGCTAGGAAGGGTAATTTAGAGGGGTTGTGCTAGGAAGCAGGATTAGGAGAGGGAACTGAGGGGAGATTTGTACTAGGAGAGGGGATGGAGGGCTGTGCTAGGAAAGGGGGTGGGGATGGGGGGCCATACTAGTAGACAGGATTGTGGGGGGATTTGTGCTAGGAGGGGGGATTAGGGTGGGGAGTAAAGATTTGTGCTGGTATGGGAGGAGTTGTGCTGGTTAGCGGGATTTATGATAGGAGGGGATTAGGGGGAATTTTTACTAGAAGGGAAGGGGGGGGGGGGGGTGTGCTGGTAGGGAGGATTGGGGGGGGGGGGGGGGGTAGTTGCATTAGGAGGGGGATTTGTGGAGGGGGTGGGGATTGGGAGAGGTTAGACTAAAAGGGGGGGATTTGAGCTAGAAGGGGGGATTAGGGCGGGGAGTAAAGATTTGTACTGGGAAGGCTAATTTGGAGGGGTTCTGCTAGGAAGCAAGATTGGGGGGGTTTATGCTAGGAGGGGGAGGGTATTTGTGCGCTAGGAGGGAGATTTGGGGGGGGGGGATTTCTGCTGGGAGGGGATTTGGGGGGAGGGGATTTGTGCTAGGGTTGAAAATTTGAGGGAAGGGGGGGTGTGTTAGGAGGGGTGAAGTAGAACTACAAGTGAAGTTTTGTTTTTCCTTTGGGGGGGGCAAGTAGCCTATCTTTCCCAGGGGGGGCGCTGAGAGCGCTGCTTCAAGTGCAGAAGCCACACCTCGGGTGATCCGGTGCAGTCGGGGGTATATGTTGAGTAGAAGAGACGCCGCCCTCCTCACAGCATGCGTGCTACATCAAGACAGGACACGACCTCAGCCTAGGCTCCTCCCTGGCCACGCCCTCTGATGTGTTTCACCCCACCCACAGGGCTTAGTGTTAGACTGTGGGTGGGGTTCAATGCATCAGTGGGCGTGGTCTGGGAGGAGCCTAGGCTGTTTGCTTTTTGTCTTAATGCAGCGCACGGCTGCCAGGAGTCCGACGTTTTCTGTACATTGCACCCTGTAAAGTATTGCACCCGCGATCAGCAGACTGGGGGTGCAATGCCTGGATCCTGCAGACTGGGGGTGCAATGCCTGGATCCTGCAGACTGGGGGTGCAATGCCTGGATCCTGCAGACTGGGGGTGCAATGCCTGGATCCTGCAGACTGGGGGTGCAATGCCTGGATCCTGCAGACTGGGGGTGCAATGCCTGGATCCTGCAGACTGGGGGTGCAATGCCTGGATCCTGCAGACTGGGGGTGCAATGCCTGGATCCTGCAGACTAGGGGTGCAATGCCTGGATCCTGCAGACTGGGGGTGCAATGCCTGGATCCTGCAGACTGGGGGTGCAATGCCTGGATCCTGCAGAGTGGGGGTGCAATGCCTGGATCCTGCAGACTGGGGGTGCAATGCCTGGATCCTGCAGACTGGGGGTGCAATGCCTGGATCCTGCAGACTAGGGGTGCAATGCCTGGATCCTGCAGACTGGGGGTGCAATGCTTGGATCCTGCAGACTAGGGGTGCAATGCCTGGATCCTGCAGACTAGGGGTGCAATGCCTGGATCCTGCAGACTGGGGGTGCAATGCCTGGATCCTGCAGACTGGGGGTGCAATGCCTGGATCCTGCAGACTGGGGGTGCAATGCCTGGATCCTGCAGACTGGGGGTGCAATGCCTGGATCCTGCAGACTGGGGGTGCAATGCCTGGATCCTGCAGACTGTCAGTACCCTGTCTGCCCCGTACCTCTGACATAGGCAGGCAGTTACTGAATGGTCGGGAGAATCCCTGAACTATGAGGACACCCACTAGGGAGGGGCTCCCCCCATCCATCTCCAGTGTGTGGATGGAGATGACTGGATATGGATCATGTACGGCCGGCACCGGAGTCCTTGCCTTTCTCAATCCAAGTTTGGCTGCAATCTCATCCACCACCTTCGCCTTCGGATCATCCAGCAGTTCCAGGCTGTTCTGCGTTCCGATCTGTTGGAGGAAACACAACGTGAGGAGAGGTGCTCCGGGTACAAGTGTCATACATCTGCAGGAGGACAGGAATGGATGTATCTACATAGACACGGGTCCAGGCTACAGGTACGGATGGATATACCAAGCTGAGGGATCCCTGAGGGAGCTGGAAATCACTGTATAGACAGCGCTACTACACCACTACTACACCCCCTCTACTACACTGCTACTACACTGCTACTACTACACCCCCTCTACTACACTGCTACTACACCCCCTCTACTACACCGCTACTACACCCCCTCTACTACACTGCTACTACACCGCTACTATACCCCCTCTACTACACTGCTACTAACACCGCTACTATACCCCCTCTACTACACTGCTACTACACCGCTACTATACCCCCTCTACTACACTGCTACTACACTGCTACTACACCCCCTCTACTACACCGCTACTATCCACACCCCCTCTACTACACTGCTACTACACCCCCCTCTACTACACCGCTACTATATACCACTACTATACCCCCTCTACTACACTGCTACTACACCGCTACTACACTGCTACTACACCGCTACTACACTGCTACTACACCCCCTCTACTACACCGCTACTATACCCCCTCTACTACACCGCTACTATACCCCCTCTACTACACCGCTACTATACCCCCTCTACTACACCGCTACTATACCCCCTCTACTACACTGCTACTACACCGCTACTACACCCCCTCTACTACACCGCTACTACACCCCCTCTACTACACCCCCTCTACTACACCGCTACTATACCCCCTCTACTACACTGCTACTACACCCCCTCTACTACACTGCTACTACACCCCCTCTACTACTACACTGCTACTACACCCCCTCTACTACACCGCTACTACACCGCTACTATACCCCCTCTACTACACCGCTACTACACACCCCTCTACTACACCGCTACTACACCCCCTCTACTACACTGCTACTACACCCCCTCTACTACACCGCTACTACACCCCCTCTACTACACCGCTACTACACCCCTCTACTACTACACCGCTACTACACCCCCTCTACTACACTGCTACTACACCCCCTCTACTACACTGCTACTACACCCCCTCTACTACACTGCTACTACACCCCCTCTACTACACCGCTACTACACCGCTACTATACCCCCTCTACTACACCGCTACTACACCCCCTCTACTACACCGCTACTACACCCCCTCTACTACACTGCTACTACACCCCCTCTACTACACCGCTACTACACCCCCTCTACTACACCGCTACTACACCCCCTCTACTACACCGCTACTACACCCCCTCTACTACACCGCTACTACACCCCCTCTACTACACTGCTACTACACCGCTACTATACCCCCTCTACTACACTGCTACTACACCGCTACTATACCCCCTCTACTACACCGCTACTACACCCCCTCTACTACACCGCTACTACACCCCCTCTACTACACTGCTACTACACCCCCTCTACTACACCGCTACTACACCCCCTCTACTACACCCCCTCTACTACACCGCTACTACACACCCCCTCTACTACACCCCCTCTACTACACCCCCTCTACTACACCGCTACTACACCCCCTCTACTACACCCCCTCTACTACACCGCTACTACACCCCCTCTACTACACCGCTACTACACCCCCTCTACTACACCGCTACTACACAGCTACTATACCCCCTCTACTACACCGCTACTACACCCCCTCTACTACACCGCTACTACACCCCCTCTACTACACCGCTACTACACCCCCTCTACTACACCCCATCTACTACACCGCTACTACACCCCCTCTACTACACCGCTACTACACACCCCCTCTACTACACCCCCTCTACTACACCGCTACTACACCCCCTCTACTACACTGCTACTACACACCGCTACTACACTGCTACTACACCCCCTCTACTACACCGCTACTATACCCCCTCTACTACACCCCCTCTACTACACCGCTACTATACCCCCTCTACTACACCGCTACTACACCGCTACTATACCCCTTCTACTACACCGCTACTATACCCCTTCTACTACACCACTACTATACCCCCTCTACTACACCCCTTCTACTACACCGCTACTATACCCCCTCTACTACACTGCTACTATACCCCCTCTACTACACCGCTACTATACCCCCTCTACTACACTGCTACTATACCCCCTCTACTACACTGCTACTACACCGCTACTACACCCCCCCTCTACTACACCGCTACTACACAGCTACTACACCCCCTCTACTACACCGCTACTACACCCCCTCTACTACACTGCTACTACACCGCTACTACACCCCCACTATACCCCCTCTACTACACTGCTACTACACTGCTACTATACCCCCTCTACTACACTGCTACTATACCCCCTCTACTACACCACTACTATACCCCCCTCTACTACACTGCTACTACACTGCTACTATACCCGCTCTACTACACTGCTACTATACCCCCTCTACTACACTGCTACTACACTGCTACTATACCCCCCTCTACTACACCGCTACTATACCCCCTGTACTACACTGCTACTATACCCCCTTTACTACACCACTACTATACCCCCTCTACTACACTGCTACTACACCGCTACTATACCCCCTGTACTACACTGCTACTATACCCCCTCTACTACACTGCTACTACACCACTACTATACCCCCTGTACTACACAGCTACTATACCCCCTCTACTACACCGCTACTACACCCCCTGTACTACACTGCTACTATACCCCCTCTACTACACTGCTACTACACCGCTACTATACCCCCTCTACTACACAGCTACTATACCCCCTCTACTACACTGCTACTACACAGCTACTATACCCCCTCTACTACACTGCTACTACACCACTACTATACCCCCTCTACTACACCGCTACTATACCCCCTGTACTACACCGCTACTATACCCCCTGTACTACACTGCTACTACACCACTACTATACCCCCTCTACTACACTGCTACTACACCGCTACTACACCTCCTCTACTACACTGCTACTACACAGCTACTATACCCCCTCTACTACACTGCTACTACACCCCCTCTACTACACTGCTACTACACTGCTACTACACCCCCTCTACTACACTGCTACTACACCTCCTCTACTACACTGCTACTACACAGCTACTATACCCCCTCTACTACACTGCTACTACACCCCCTCTACTACACTGCTACTACACCGCTACTACACCCCCTCTACTACACTGCTACTACACCGCTACTACACCCCCTCTACTACACAGCTACTATACCCCCTCTACTACACTGCTACTACACAGCTACTATACCGCTACGACACAGCTACTATACCCCCTCTACTACACCGCTACTACACCCCCTCTACTACACTGCTACTACACAGCTACTATACCCCCTCTACTACACTGCTACTACACCCCCTCTACTACACTGCTACTACACCGCTACTACACCCCCTCTACTACACTGCTACTACACCGCTACACCCCCTCTACTACACTGCTACTACACAGCTATTATACCCCCTCTACTACTCCGCTACTACACCCCCTCTACTACACTGCTACTACACAGCTACTATACCGCTACTACACAGCTACTATACCCCCTCTACTACACCGCTACTACACCCCCTCTACTACACTGCTACTACACAGCTACTATACCCCCTCTACTACACCGCTACTACACCCCCTCTACTACTCCGCTACTACACCCCTCTACTACACTGCTACTACACCGCTACTACTATACCCCTCTACTACACCGCTACTACACCCCCTCTACTACACTGCTACTACCCCCCTCTACTAGACTGCTACTACACCGCTACTACACACCCCCTCTACTACACCGCTACTATACCCCCCTCTACTACTCCGCTACTACACCCCCTCTACTATAGCCCCTCTACTACACCGCTACTATACCCCCTCTACTACACCGCTACTACGTCTTTAATACACCATTACTACACGCCGCTACTACACTGCTACTACACCCCCTCTACTACACCGCTACTACACTGCTACTACACCCCCTCTACTACACCGCTACTACACCGATTACACCGCTACTACACTGCTACTACACCCCCTCTACTACACCGCTACTATACCCCCTCTACTACACCGCTACTATACCCCCCTCTACTACACCGCTACTATACCCCCTCTACTACACACCGCTACTATACCCCCTCTACTACACAGCTACTACACCATTACTACACCACTACTACACCGCTACTATACTACTACTACACCCCTCTACTACACCGCTACTACAACCCCTCTACTACACTGCTACTAAACTACTACACCGCTACTACACCACTACTACACCGATTACACCGCTACTACACCGCTACTATACCCCCTCTACTACACCGCTACTATACCCCCTCTACTACACCGCTACTATACCCCCTCTACTACATCACTACTATACCCCCTCTACTACACCACTACTATACCCCCTCTACTACACCACTACTATACCCCCCCTCTACTACACCACTACAACACCGCTACTATACCCCCTCTACTACACCGCTACTACACCGCTACTATACCCCTTCTACTACACCACTACTATACCCCCTCTACTACACCGCTACTATACCCCCTCTACTACACCGCTACTATACCCCCTTTACTACACCGCTACTATACCCCCTCTACTACACCGCTACTACACCCTCTCTACTACACCGCTACTACACCACTACTATACCCCCTCTACTACTCCGCTATTCCACCACTGCTACTACAGTGATCTCAATTAGCTTCCAAGTCCTGTGCTGAGAAGGTTCCCTGCTGCATTGTGAACACAGGAGGTCGGCCTCTCGGCACCATTCAGAGAATGCTTTGCGTTTTATCACTGAATGCAAAGTGATCTCTGATTGGACGATGTACAGAGCGTGACTTCACTGGATGTGCAGGATGTACGAGGTGTACTGGATGTATGGGGTGTACGGGATGTGCGGGGTGTACGGGATGTACGGAGTGTACGGGATGTATAAGGTGTACTGGATGTGCTGGATGTACGGGATGTGCTGGATGTACTGGATGTGCTGGATGTACGGGATGTGCTGGATGTACGGGATGTGCTGGATGTACGGGATGTGTGGGATGTACGGGATGTGCTGGATGTACGGGATGTGTGGGATGTACGGGATGTGTGGGATGTACGGGATGTGTGGGATGTACGGGATGTGCTGGATGTACGGGATGTGCGGGATGTACGGGATGTGCGGGATGTACGGGATGTGTGAGGTGTACGGGATGTGTGAGGTGTACGGGATGTGCGAGGTGTACCGGGTGAGCGGGGTGTACGGGATGTGCGGGATGTACGGGATGTATGGGGTGTACCGGGTGAGCGGGGTGTACGGGATGTGTGAGGTGTACCGGGTGAGCGGGGTGTACGGGATGTATGGGGTGTACCGGGTGAGCGGGGTGTACCGGGTGAGCGGGGTGTTTGGAGCTTGGGCCAGTCCATTCATCACGTGTGACACTCTGAATCCATGTAACGTGTAACATGTTACGAATGGTGCACGGATCATTGGACGGTTTTTCCTGCAGGGAGGGGCGCTGCCACTCCCACCTCCCGACTCTTACCTGCGGGGGCTCATAGATGGCGGCCACCTCGGCCCGGATCCCCAGGGGGATGTCCTTGTGCTCGGTGTACCGCCCATACAGGTAGCCGATTCGCTGATTGCCGGTTTTGCGCCAGAAGTCCAGGAAACGATCGGCGATGGTGTGATTCTCAAACATGATGTTGTCGACGTGTCGGTATTTCTAGGAGGAGGAATCAGAACGTCACCAACAGGCAGGAGGAGTTCGGTGTAATCAGAATGAATGCTGATCAATGTCAACGATCTCAGCGTCTACTGAGTAGGAGGGCAAGTTCCTCATGGGCGGGGACATGTATGCTGTCAGTGGTGTCATAAAAGTGCTCTGAAGAGTGAACACTGGAGTGTGGCCTACATCGATGCCCGACTCTCACGGCTACTAACTGTCTCTGCCATCGTTTTGTTCCCGAGCATCATGCAAAAGAACACATCCCTGGCATCCCTTTATACAGGCATGCCCAAGCAACCAATCAACAGTCAGTACAGCTAAAGTCAGCAGCACCCAGTGGCCAGCAAGAAGGAGCATGTAAGTCTAAAGGGATGCCAGCAGCGTGTTCTTCCAAAAAAAAAAAAAAACCTCACTAGAATGCGGTGCGGAAGAGCCACATTCTCGTGCGGCTTCCCGCACCAGATTCCGATCACAATGCCCGTGATCTGCTGCGGGGGTCAGTTATAATGAACGACACCCAAACGCAGATGGCAAATGCATTGCGTTTCCACACACCTAACCGCATGGCGTTTTTTTTATTGGCCAAAAAATATCATTTGTTGCATCATTTGTTGCTCGGTTTTTCTGCTTCAGCTTTTTTTATTTATTTTATTATTATGATTATTAATTTATTATTTTATTATGATTAATTTAATAATTATTTTACCGATTTATTTATTATTTTTTGTTAGCGTGATAATAATGAATAAATAAATGTTAAATACACAAGTAAATAAAAATAATCATAAATACTATGTAATAAATAATTAACCCCTAATCCTTAAATATATATTAAACAAATTATAATATTATTATTAATAATAAATACAAAATAAACACCTAAACCCAAAAAATATATTAATAATAATAAATGTAAAATAAATACACAAAAATAAAAATCATAAATACTTGTAATAATAAATTAATAATAATAATTAATCCATAACCTCAACCCCCAGAATCTGAAAAAAAAAAGTTATAAAATAATAATTTATTATTAACATATTTTTTTTTTGGGTGATTATTATTATTATTAATAACAAAATGGCTTCCTTTTATTTTAAGGTTAGGGGTTATTATTTTTCATAATTTTTTATGTTTTTATTTTATATTTTTTACATTTGATTTATTCATATATTATTTCAATTTTTTTTATATATATATATATTTTCATTTGTGCAAAAAATCACGTAAAACGCACGTTAAAACGTGCCAATCATGCGTTTCTTTTCGAAGTAAATAAAAACTGATCTAAAAAGTTGAAAAACTGCCCAATTTGAGCTACAAAATGCTGGCCTCCCTCTTCCATCCACAGCCAGCCCCCTCCGCCTCGCTCTCCCCCCACAGACTGGGCTGAGCTCCGCCTACTCCCAGGCAGCGCTCACCAATCAGCGGAGGCTACTTCCTCCTTCGTCTGCTCGGCTCCGGCCTGTGTGTGTCCTGCAGACTGGGCAGCCACCGTCCCCTCGCACATCGGATCCCGTGTAGCGGTGACTGCTGCAAGCAAACCTGCAAACATTACGGCGCCTGCCGGGGGTGATGCCGAACCCCCTAAAAAAATGCCGCCCTAGGCAAATGCCTTGCTTGCCTCACAGTAGATACGCCCCCTAAGTGTGGGTGTGGCCCCCCTAAGTGTGGGATCAGTTTACATTTTCCTGTAGCCGGGCTTTAACTCCCAAGCTGTGCAGTGCTCTGGTCAGTCCTCGGTCGCTGTTCAGTGGGCTCCTATGCGGGGACGTATTTAGCACAAGGCGAACAAGGCATTTGCCTAGGGCGGCATTTTTCAGGGGGGCAGGAGCATTTTTTCAGGGGGGCAGCACTGTCCCTCGAAAGAAGGAAAGGAAGAAGGGACACACGCAGCACGGGGATCAGGTGGGATCTGAGAGGGGCTGCTTGATAGTGTATGCAGGAGCATGACTCTCGTTCCCGGGGATGTCTGGAGCTGTGAAGGGGAGGATCTTCTGTCTTGTCGGGGGTGTTTTTGGCCAATGGGGAGAGACATTTTTGTGTTGCCTGGGGCAGCACGACACCTAAATACACGGCCGCTCCTGTGGCCCTCCATACGTCTCACCTGTCGGTTGAGGGTGATGGCGCTGGGCTGGCATTTGGTACAGATGCCCTCTGGCCACGGTGGATGCCCTTCACAGCCAGATTTTATCTTGCAGCTGATATTTTCCAAGGCCACAAATTTCCCTCTGAAAAGAGTTCGGAGAACAGAGATCAGTCATAAGAATGGTTCTAGTGAAGGTGAGTGGGTTGCAAAAAAACAAAAAAACAAAAAAAAAAAAAAGCGAAAAAAAAAGAAAAAAAAAAAAAAAACGAAAACAAAAACCGAAAAAAAAAAACAAAACAAAAAAAGAACAAAAGACCGTAAACAAAAACCAAAAAAAACTAAAAACGAAAACAAAAAAAGAAAAAAAACCAAAAAAAACTAAAAAAGAACAAAAAAAAACAAAGGAAAAAAACAAAAAATGAAAACAAAAAAAGAAAAACCAAAAAAAACTAAAAAAGAACAAAAAAAAAAACAAAGGAAAAAAACAAAAAACGAAAACAAAAAAAGAAAAACCAAAAAAAAAAAAAAAACAAAAACCAAAAAGAACAAAAAAAAAAACAAAGGAAAAAAAACAAAAAAACGAAAACAAAAAAAAGAAAACCAAAAAAAAAAAAAAAAAAAAAAAGCGGAAAAAACCCCCCCAAAAAAACAACCGATATACAAAACTGTACAGAGTCCGGAATCCCCCCCCCCCCGGGGACTGCAGGGGGTTCGGTACAGATCTCAGCGAGTACACAAGGCCCGCCTCCTGAAGCTGCCCCCCGCCCCTCCCTAATTGTTGCATATAAGTCATTGTGGGGACAAGTAACATGCCCACCGTTCTGCCACTTCCTGCACTGTGCCTAGGTGAGGGTGATGTCATCGTCCTTCCAGCCGGATCTCAGGAGGCGTTGAGGAGCCCGAATGTCATGGCAAGACGACCCCGCACTGTGCACCGCCATGCCTCTTACCCAGCATTCCTAGGGGCGGTGTCAGTCGCAGGAGGAGCACCGCAGAGGTCGGGGAAAGAGGAGTATATCCCACTTGCTGACCTCCCCCGCCCATGGGGGGCCAGTCCAGGCACAGCGACATACCTGCCTGTTTCCAGACACAGGGTGGGCCTCCCCCGCCTACTCCCGCTGTGATTGGATTCTGTCAGCAGGTCCCAGCCAATGATTCACAGCCAGGACCTGCTGATCAGCCAATCACAGCCCTCAGCTTTGTGCTGACAATCAATACAGGGCTCTGTCCAGAGGGGACGATCGCTTTCTTCTCCCTGCCTTGCCCTGTATTGTATGTAGCCTATGCAGGGAACAGAGCTATGGGAGGGGCCTGGCAGGCTCCACCCACTACAGGCTGCCTGTAGAAAACTACAGGAGGGGGCGGAGACGAGACCAGTCATCCTGCACACGGACAGAGAGCAGCAGTGAGCGGTCTTTCTTGCAGGAGGTTCCTTCACGGGGGAGGAGTACCGGATGGCGGCACGGATCTGTACACAATGGACACCAAGCCCAGAGTCCAGCTTTATACGTCATTCAGAGAAGACGGGTCATGAATACACGAGGACACGCCTCGTCTGGACAGAACATGTAATGCACATGTATGAGCGATCCTTACTTGTCAGCCCCGCCTGTCAGCTTCCGGATGTACGCATGGAAGGACATGTGTTTGACTGGAGGCTCCAGATGGTTCAGATAATCCTCATCGAATGGCTGCAAAACAGAAAGATCGTATGAGAGGGCCGAGCAGAGACATCCATGTACATACAGAGAGGGCCGAGCAGAGACATCCATGTACACAGAGGGCCGAGCAGAGACATCCATGTACATACAGAGAGGGCCGAGCAGAGACATCCATGTACATACAGAGAGGGCCAAGCAGAGACATCCATGTACATACAGAGAGGGCCGAGCAGAGACATCCATGTACATACAGAGAGGGCCGAGCAGAGACATCCATGTACATACAGAGAGGGCCGAGCAGAGACATCCATGTACATACAGAGAGGGCCGAGCAGAGACATCCATGTACATACAGAGAGGGCCGAGCAGAGACATCCATGTACATAGAGGGCCGAGCAGAGACATCCATGTACATACAGAGAGGGCCGAGCAGAGACATCCATGTACATACAGAGAGGGCCGAGCAGAGACATCCATGTACATACAGAGAGGGCCGAGCAGAGACCGCCACGTACATACAGAGAGGGCCGAGCAGAGACCGCCACGTACATACAGAGAGGGCCGAGCAGAGACATCCATGTACATACAGAGGGGGCCGAGCAGAGACATCCATGTACATACAGAGAGGGCCGAGCAGAGACATCCATGTACATACAGAGAGGGCCGAGCAGAGACATCCATGTACATACAGAGAGGGCCGAGCAGAGACCGCCACATGTACATACAGAGAGGGCCGAGCAGAGACCGCCATGTACATACAGAGAGGGCCGAGCAGAGACATCCATGTACATACAGAGAGGGCCGAGCAGAGACATCCATGTACATACAGAGAGGGCCGAGAGCAGAGACATCCATGTACATACAGAGAGGGCCGAGCAGAGACATCCATGTACATACAGAGAGGGCCGAGCAGAGACATCCATGTACATACAGAGAGGGCCGAGCAGAGACATCCATGTACATACAGAGAGGGCCGAGCAGAGACCGCCATGTACATACAGAGAGGGCCGAGCAGAGACATCCATGTACATACAGAGAGGGCCGAGCAGAGACATCCATGTACATACAGAGAGGGCCGAGCAGAGACATCCATGTACATAGAGGGCCGAGCAGAGAGGGGCCGAGCAGAGACATCCATGTACATACAGAGAGGGCCGAGCAGAGACATCCATGTACATACAGAGAGGGCCGAGCAGAGACATCCATGTACATACAGAGAGGGCCGAGCAGAGACATCCATGTACATACAGAGAGGGGAGCGAGCAGAGACATCCATGTACATACAGAGAGGGCCGAGCAGAGACATCCATGTACATACAGAGAGGGCCGAGCAGAGACATCCATGTACATACAGAGAGGGAGCAGAGACATCCATGACAGAGAGGGCCGAGCAGATACATGTACAGAGAGGGCCGAGCAGAGACATCCATGTACATAGTAGAGGGCCGACAGAGACATCCAGAGAGGGCCGAGCAGAGACATCCATGTACATACAGAGAGGGCCGAGCAGAGACATCGCCATGTACATACAGAGAGGGCCGAGCAGAGACACCGCCCAGCGTACATACAGAGAGAGAGGGCCGAGCAGAGCAGACATCCATGTACATACAGAGGGGCCGAGCAGAGACATCCATGTACATACAGAGAGAGGGCCGAGCAGAGACATCCATGTACATACAGAGAGGGGCCGAGCAGAGACATCCATGTACATACAGAGAGGGCCGAGCAGAGACATCCATGTACATACAGAGGGCCGAGCAGAGACATCCATGTACATACAGAGAGAGGGGCCGAGCAGAGACATCCATGTACATAGAGAAGGCGAGCAGAGACATCCAGAGAGGGCCGATCCATGTACATACAGAGAGGGCCGAGCAGAGACATCCATGTACATACAGAGAGGGCCGAGCAGAGACATCCATGTACATACAGAGGGCCGAGCAGAGACATCCATGTACATACAGAGAGAGAGGGCCGAGCAGAGACATCCATGTACATACAGAGGGCCGGGGCCGAGCAGAGATCCCGTACCAGAGGGGCCGTACATACAGAGAGGGCCGAGCAGAGACATCCATGTACATACAGAGAGGACATCCCTGTACCGAGCAGAGACATCCATGTACATACAGAGAGGGCCGAGCCAGCAGAGACATCCATGTACATACAGAGAGAGGCCGAGGGCAGAGACATCCATGTACATAGAGGGCCGAGCAGAGACATCCATGTACATAGAGGGCCGAGCAGAGACATCCATGTACATACAGAGAGGGCCGAGCAGAGACATCCATGTACATACAGAGAGGGCCGAGCAGAGACATCCATGTACATAGAGGGCCGAGCAGAGACATCCATGTACATACAGAGAGGGCCGAGCAGAGACATCCATGTACATACAGAGAGGGCCGAGCAGAGACCGCCACGTACATACAGAGAGGGCCGAGCAGAGACATCCATGTACATAGAGGGCCGAGCAGAGACATCCATGTACATACAGAGAGGGCCGAGCAGAGACATCCATGTACATACAGAGAGGGCCGAGCAGAGACATCCATGTACATAGAGGGCCGAGCAGAGACATCCATGTACATACAGAGAGGGCCGAGCAGAGACATCCATGTACATACAGAGAGGGGCCGAGCAGAGACATCCATGTACATACAGAGAGGGCCGAGCAGAGACATCCATGTACATACAGAGAGGGCCGAGCAGAGACCGCCATGTACATACAGAGAGGGCCGAGCAGAGATCGCCATGTACATACAGAGAACATATGCACACCCAGTGTCATTCATGGTACTTACCTCCAAGGGGACGCAGTGCACACATTTTCCCAGAGGGCCGTGCCGACACCTACAACGGAGAACAGACAAATACAATCAGGAGGGTGGAGCTAAGGAAGAACTCCACCCAAGACACACACACAGCCTCCCTGTCAGCTCAGCACACTGCACAGCACAGCAATCCTGATCAGTGTGCTTACAGCAAAGAACACCCCACCCCCTAGTAACACACTCCCCGCCCCCTAGTAACACACAACCCCCCCCCCCCCCCCCCCCCGCCCACCAGTAACACACTCCCAGCACACAGGTAACCCTTTGATTGCCCCAGATGTTAACCCCCTCCCTGCCCAGTGTCATTAGTACAGTGTCAGGGTTTTTTTTTAGCACTGATCACTGTATTGGTGTCACTGGGGTGTCACCAAGTCAGTCCCCCCCCCCAGTGTCAGAATGCCTGCCACAGTCCCACTATAAGTCGCTGATCGCCACCATTACTAGTATTAAAAAAAATAAATAAATCCCTGTATCTATCCCGCCATTTGCAGACACAATAACTTTCACATCAACTAATCAATTTCCACATATCGGGATTTCTCAGCGAAGACACGGAGCGGGAGACACGGAGCGGGAGACACGGAAGACACAGAGTGGGAGACACGAAGCGGGAGACACGGAGCGGGAGACACGGAAGACACAGAGTGGGAGACACGAAGCGGGAGACACGGAAGACACAGAGTGGGAGACACGAAGCGGAAGACACGGAAGACACAGAGTGGGAGACACGAAGCGGGAGACACGGAAGACACAGAGTGGGAGACACGAAGCGGGAGACACGGAAGACACAGAGTGGGAGACACGAAGCGGGAGACACGGAAGACACAGAGTGGGAGACACGAAGCGGGAGACACGGAAGACACAGAGTGGGAGACACGGAAGACACAGAGTGGGAGACACGAAGCGGGAGACACGGAAGACACAGAGTGGGAGACACGAAGCGGGAGACACGGAAGACACAGAGTGGGAGACACGAAGCGGGAGACACGGAAGACACAGAGTGGGAGACACGAAGCGGGAGACACGGAAGACACAGAGCGGGAGACACGGAAGACACAGAGTGGGAGACACGGAGCGGGAGACACGGAAGACACAGAGTGGGAGACACGAAGCGGGAGACACGGAGCGGGAGACAAGGAAGACACGGAGTGGGAGACAAGGAAGACACGGAGCAGGAGACAAGGAAGACACGGAGCAGGAGACAAGGAAGACACGGAGCAGGAGACAAGGAAGACACGGAGCGGGAGACAAGGAAGACACGGAGCGGGAGACAAGGAAGACACGGAGCGGGAGACACAGAAGACACGGAGCGGGAGACACGGAAGACATGGAAGACACGGAGCGGGAGACACAGAAGACACGGAGCGGGAGACACGGAGCGGGAGACACAGAAGACACGGAGCGGGAGACATTTTGGCCGAAATTGATGACGAAATTTGATTTAAATTTTTTTACTGTTTAATAGGAAAAAGTCCAAAATATTGTTTTATAACTTAAAATTGTCGCACATTGCTTACAGCACAAAAAACCGCACAAATGATCAAATACCACCGAAAGAAAGCGCTATTTGTGGGAAAAAAAAAGGACAAATTTAATTTGGGTGTGGCTTTGTACAACCGCGCAATTGTCAAAGTAACTGGTGAGGAAGGGGGGGAATCCTCTGGTGGGGGAGGGGGAGAATCCTCTGGAGGGGGAGGAGTTAGGCGGCCTATGTTCAAGCAGCGCCACAAATAGAGAAAGGAGGGTGACGCCACGACTCACTACTGCAGCTTCCTGTTCCATAAATGCGCTTCAAGCGACTGTTTGGTCCACGTCTTGCTTTAGGGGAACCTGTAAGTATCATAATGCTCACAACTGTCAGCGGTCGCTGATCTGCACGTCCTCCTGACCAATGGGAATCTCTTCTGTCCTCCAGGATAATGTACTGGAACCAGAAGGCTCAAAGGTTGTCCTCATTGGTCAGCATGGTCATGTGACCAATGGCCGCTCGCAATTGAGAGCATTATGATGTCGGGGTTGCTGACGCAGCGTGTGGATTGTTTGCACCCTTTAACCGTCCCGCCTCCAGGTCCATATGTGTGCAGACCAGATAGCAGGGGGGGGAGAGCCTGTCACCAATCATCATCTGCCCAATCATCGTAAAGGGGAGGAACCACGAAAATCGGCCGATGCCATTGTCCCCACTAACAGAGCGAAAATCGGACGATTATTCTTAGGTCCGATTTTCAGACGAAAAATCAGTCTGATTTCGACCCGTGTATGGCCGTCCTTAGAACAGGTCCCGTTTTCCAACTCTAATAAATGGTGGTTGGTGAAGGATCAGCAGGACCGGCGCACCCTCGGCAGGAACGGCGAGCACCCTCGGCAGGACCGGCGAGCACCCTCGGCAGGAACGGCGAGCACCCTCGGCAGGACCGGCGAGCACCCTCGGCAGGAACGGCGAGCACCCTCGGCAGGAACGGCGAGCACCCTCGGCAGGAACGGCGAGCACCCTCGGCAGGAACGGCGAGCACCCTCGGCAGGACCGGCGAGCACCCTCGGCAGGAACGGCGAGCACCCTCGGCAGGACCGGCGAGCACCCTCGGCAGGAACGGCGAGCACCCTCGGCAGGAACGGCGAGCACCCTCGGCAGGAACGGCGAGCACCCTCGGCAGGAACGGCGAGCACCCTCGGCAGGACCGGCGCACCCTCGGCAGGACCGGCGCACTCTCGGCAGGACCGGCGCACCCTCGGCAGGACCGGCGCACTCTCGGCAGGACCGGCGCACTCTCGGCAGGACCGGCGCACTCTAGGCAGGACCGGCGCACTCTCGCACTCTCGGCAGGACCGGCGCACTCTCGGCAGGACCGGCGCACCCTCGACAGGACCGGCGCACTCTCGGCAGGACCGGCGCACTCTAGGCAGGACCGGCGCACCCTCGGCAGGACCGGCGCACCCTCGGCAGGACCGGCGCACCCTCGGCAGGACCGGCGCACTCTCGGTAGGACCGGCGCACTCTCGGCAGGACCGGCGCACCCTCGGCAGGACCGGCGCACCCTCGGCAGGACCGGCGCACTCTCGGCAGGACCGGCGCACTCTCGGCAGGACCGGCGCACTCTCTCCTATACGGTACGCACAGCTGGGGGTCGCGGTTCCGGTAGATCTTCCCTTCCTGCTTGTTCAGGTATTGGTCGATGTCATCTTCCACCACTTGAGGCGCACTTGTCGTTCGGCCGGCCTGGATCCCTGCGGACGTATCCATGACCTCAGAGGACGGCCCGGCGGTGCTGGATGGGAACAGGAACAGCATGTCTCCATGTCTGCAGGAGGAAACAAACACAAAGAAGGGAACAGGCGCCTCACCATGGTGATTCATTATTTATTCAGAGCAAACAGCAACTGACGAGCGACACCCAGCAGATCGCTTACATCCTCCTCCGCTCCGGTGACTCCATTCATACAATGCAGAACAAAGCCCGGACTTCTCCTGTGCTGCCCCTTTGTTCCGGAACACTCACTGTCCCTTCTAGAACCCCCCCCCCCCATCCTAGACAGAAGGCTCTGGCTCGGGTTGAAGCTCCAGTGTTCCATGACTTACCTGTAACGATGTATGCCCCCCCCATGTGCAGGCTGCTGGGGTCTGTAAAAAAAAAAAATCTTCACTGCAGGGATGCCCTGTCCTCTTCCTGGACTTCCGGCACTGTGAGGGTTAACAGCTTCGGAAGTGCTGGACGCTAAGTGAGGAAACCTTACTGGTCACATTGTACTGATGGATAGAAGGGGCGGGGCTTAGCGGCAAGTATGTGCAAAAATCAAGGCCCCCCCCCTCCACGGCGGGGGAGGAGGGGATGGCGAGTAAAAATTGAAGTTTAGTTCAAAAACATTTTTTTTCTCTCCAGCTTTAGTTCCATGACTTACCTGTAACGACGTATGCCCCCCCCCCCCCATGTGCAGGCTGCTGGGGTCTGTAAAAATCTTCACTGCAGGGATGCCCTGTCCTCTTCCTGAATTTATGGCACTGTGAGGGTTAGGTTTTCAGGCTCAGCTGCACTGAAGATGATCTGTAGAAATCTTCACTGCAGGGCTGCCCTGTCCTCTTCCTTCTGCTTAACCTCATGGCACTGTGGGGCTTAACAGCTTCAGCTCTCTCCAGGCTCAGCTCCACTAACAATGATCTGTAAAAATCTTCACTGCAGGGCTGCCCTGTCCTCTTCCTTCTGCTTAACCTCATGGCACTGTGGGGCTTAAGAGCTTCAGCTCTCTCCAGGCTCAGCTCCACTAACAATAATCTGTAAAAATCTTCACTGCAGGGCTGCCCTGTCCTCTTCCTGCTGCTGAATTTCTGGCACTGTGAGGGTAAAGTTTCCAGGCTCAGCTTCACTGAAGATGGAGCGAAGGGGACACGCCTCTTTCTGCCCTCTCCTCCAATAAGAAGAGTTCTTTCACTGATGACATTGCCTGTAATATATTCTGTGAATGGGGGAGGGACTCCGGTGACTGTTCAGACTCTCCTCCATTCACAGATCATGTCACAGGCAGTATAACCAATGAAATAATTAATTCCCACTGGAGGAGAGGGCAGGAGGGGGGGCGTGTCCCTGTTAGATGGTCTTTAGTGCAGCTGAGCCTGGAGACCGTTAACCCTCACAGTGCCGGACATTCAGGAAGAGGACAGGGCAGCCCTGCAGTGAAGATTTCTACAGAATCCCGGATCCTGCACAACAAGGTGAGCAATGTGAGCGAGGAGCCGGCACTTTGAGAATACCAGCCGTGTTTTATTTCAACTTCTCACAAAGGCAGGTAGAGCTCCGCCCCATTTTTGAAGTCCGCGGAAGTGCGAAAAACAAAAACCCGCAAGTGAACAAAAAAACATGCCAGTGCAAAACCAACACAAAAACGTGCACTTAGGGGTGTCTTTGTCCACCCCCTGAAGGGGTAGGACCTCTACCCTGATCCCCCGGGGTGCAAAGCTCCTGACAGGGACAAGGTTCCCGTGTGGTCCTCCTAGCCAGAAGGCCTGGTGGACCCCTTTCCTTGTGGCCAGCCGAAGCCAGCCACCAAGTACTTGGTAAGGGGGCTCTCCGAAGAGAGACCCCCCAGGGACAGGGGAGGAAGGAACCAAAAGGCCACACATCCCCCCCCTAGACTTCAGGGCAGGCCCGAGGACCCCCACCCTCCATCCGTGAGGAAAAAACACACAAAAGTGAAAAGTGACAAAACGTGAAAAAAAAGAAATTAAATAAATAAGTAAAAATAAAATAGTGGCCGTTCAAGTGTGCCCTGGGGGGCCCCGGGGCCCGTAGCATAAATATTGCCCTGGACTTAGCCAAAAGGCCCCAATAGGCGCAGTGCAGGAAAAGTGTTCGGATCGGTGACCATGTGCACTCTTCACACGTTGGGGTCCCACCCCCATGTGCTACTAGGAGCACCCGAGGCGACCAATCAGGGGGCACTGCACCGCGGACTCAGCCTCCCCGGCCCCTGACCAGACAAGTTAGATCCGTTCAAATCAGGAGGAACTGGGCCCCTCCGGTTTTCCAGGGGGAATTACTCCCGGGCCCCAGCAGCCTGTGGGCGCCTCGGTTTCTGTTCCAGCCGGTACTAACCATCAGGACCCCCATCCTACCAGCAGGGGTGCTATACAACCAATCATCCCGCAAGCAGGAATGACGGTGGAGCCCCCTACTGGACACTAAGAACAGATACTACACTTGATCTTAGCCAAAAGGCCGAGAAGCGAGCTCCGCCCCATTTCCTGGCTGGAGGACATCCGGCATCATCTATCCCTTTCCTCCCAGCCTGACTGTTCCCCCATCTGTACACCCCCATCTTTACTCGGAGTCTCAGCATCACAAGTAGGTGTTCTCTACAGCGGCTTCCATGCATGAACAGCCTGCCCAGGAACACCCACTCCTCCACGCTGACACCCACCCATCAGTTAGATATTTGCATAACTCCTCCCAGGAGCCAGCCCACTGCATGCATCAGGACTAAGGGCTCCTGAGAGGAATACTGAGGCAGGAAGCTATGTACAGCACCCCGCCAGCCATGATCTGCCTGCATTGCATAGAGAAGCACAGAGACTAATGATGGGGTCTGAATAAAGGTAAGTAATGCAAATGGAAAGGTTTTATTACGAAAGGAGGAGGGAGGGGAAGGAGGAGGGAGGGGGAGGAGGAGGAGGGAGGAGGAGGAGGGAGGAGGAGGAGGAGGGAGAAGGAGGAGGAGGGAGAGAAGGAGGAGGAGGGAGAGGGAGAAGGAGGAGGAGGGAGAAGGAGGAGGAGGAGGGAGAAGGGGGAGGAGAAGAAGGGGGAGGAGAAGGAGGGGGGAGGGGAAGGGAGGAGGGGGGGGGGGGGAAGGGAGGAGGGAGGGGAAGGGGAGGAGGGAGGGGGGGAGGAGGGAGGGGAGGGAGGGAGGGGAGGAGGAGGAGGAGGGGACCAGGGAAGTCACGATCTCAGCAGAACTTTAGATTTAAATAAAAGCAAACTAAAAAACAGACAAAACACTGAAAATGATCAGAATGGAGATTTTGTTTTTTTTTTTTCGGCTTACTTGATTTTCAGCAGATGAAGAGACTTGCTTGGACTCGCTGAGATTTCTCCGGTCCGGTTTCTGTTCAGGTACACAGAGAAGCCGTTATTCCTAAAACCAAATTCTTTTGCTACCTGGAACACAAATGATAAAAAAAGTCGCTAAGAAGACATCGGTCACATCACAAAACGGACAGAAAAAAAGAGCGACTTTTCTCCCTGGCGTCTTAGGTATTACTGCACACTGTGGCTTCTTACCGCATCTGCCATCAATCACTTTATTCCTAAGCTATGCATGAAAGAACACATCCCTGGCATTCTATAATACGGGCATGTGGCCAGCAGGGAGGAGCATGAATGTCTAAAGGGATAATGGGGATGTGTTCTTTGAGCATGCACATCTAAAAGCATATTGGGGATGTGTTCTTTGAGCATGCACATCTAAAAGCATATTGGGGATGTGTTCTTTGAGCAGGCACGTTTAAAGGGATACTGGGGATGTGGTTTTTGAGCACGCACGTCTAAAGGGATACTGGGGATCTGTTCTTGGAACATGCATGTGTAATGGGACACTAGGGATGTGTTCTTTCAGCATGCACATCTAAAGGCATACTGGGGATGTGTTCTTTGAGCACACACGTCTAAAGGCATACTGGGGATGTGTTCTTTGAGCACGCAAGTCTAAAGGCATACTGGGGATGTGTTCTTTGAGCATGCACGTCTAAAGGCATACTGGGGACGTGTTCTTTGAGCATGCACGTCTAAAGGCATACTGGGGATGTGTTCTTGAATAATGCACGTCTAAAGGCATACTAAGGATGTGTTCTTTCAGCACGCACATCTTTTGTTTTGTTTTGTTTTTTTTACCTGACCATAAAGATTTAAACTTTGTATTGAGACGTTCGAAAAAGAGCTCTTAAGCCCCGCCCACATGGTCTCCATGGTAACAGGAAACCATTTCACAGACCTTTATCCCCACAATGGGTTAACAATCCCAGCACAACAAGCAAACCCCCATCTCAGGCCCCTCCCCCCAAACCACCATCTCAGGCCCCTCCCCCAAACCACCATCTCAGGCCCCTCCCCCCCCCATCCAATCCGAATCTTCTGCATTATTGAAGAGCTGTGGGCGGCGGCCTCTCCTGTTGGCGATCGACAAGAAATAAAAACTCCATCAAGGTTCGATCTGCTAACAAGGATGGAAAACTCCGCCCATTCCAGGAACCCCCCCCCCCCCTCCCCCGAGAGACGCTGACCGATCTCCTCCATCTGAAATCGTTGTAGTAGGAACATCAAACGCAAATGTAAAGAAAAAAAAAAAACCTTTGAGAGAAAAAAAAATACTTTTCTGTGTAAAATAAAACATGTCATCCATTAAAAGAAAAAGTGGTTTCTAAAAAATTCTGCAAAAAAACTGAAAACACGAAGTGTAAAAAAAAAAAAGAAAAGAAACCTAAATAAGACAAAAATCTGTGGAAAATAACAAAAAAAAAAAAAAAAAAAAAAAGTACAAAAATCCCCTGTAAAACTCTGAAAAACACTTTCTGTATAAAAAAAAAAAAAAAAAAAAGAAAACATCTGTAAAATACCCTGTAAAAAAAAAAAACTTTAAAGATAAAAAAAAACCTAACAAATTGTAAAAGAAAAAACAAAACATGCCTTCCATTAAAGAAAAAGCTGCTTCTGAAAAAAATTACTGGAAAAAAAAATCTGAAAACACATTCTGGAAAAAAAAAAAGTGTAAAGTGTAAAAAAAAACATAAAACAAAAAAATCTGTGAAAAAATAACTAAAAAAAATCTGGGAAAAAAAAAAAAAAAAAAGAGTAAAAATATGCTCTAAAAAAAACAACTTTAAGGGGTAAACCCCCCCCAAAAAAAAAAACACTTTTCTGTAAAATAAAACATACATAAAACATTAAAAGAAAAAGTATTCTGAAAAAATATATGAAAACAAACATTCTGGAAAAAGGCCTAAAAAAAACTAACTATTCTGTGAAAAAATAACTATAAAAACAGTCTGGAAAAAAAAAAAGTTAAAAATTTCTCTAAAAAAAAACCCTATAAAACACTTTCTGTAAAGAAAAAAAAGAAAACACTTTCTGTTTGTAAAACAAAGAAACCAAACAACTAAACACCATTTGTATAAAATGTTTCTGAAAGAAAAAAAAATACTTTGAAAACATTATGGAAGAAAAACAAAAGAAAAGCCTAAAAAAAGGCAAAAAAACCTCTAATATACAAATTACCTTGTAAAACAAATTCTGTGAAAATACAAAACAAGGTAAGTAAACAAACCTCTACAATCAAAAACATGAAACACTTTAAAAAAAAGTCCTATAAAAAGACTTAAAAACCTTTAAAAAAAGTGTTACATGAAAGTTATACTCCCTTCCCATCAACTGATGCAATTACATGAAAGAACACGTTCCCCCAGCATCCCATTATACGCACCTCCCTGTGCGGCTCGCACATCACATTCTCTCACTAACTGCCCACCAGCAGGATTATAGGACTGAATGCGGGTAATCTGGGGTTAAGGGGGGGGGGGGGAAGGGGGAAAGGGGGGAGGGGGGGGAAAAAGGGGAGGGGGGGG